AACTGCACGCGATAAGATTCACGGACGGTTACTCGCTCGCTCCGCGCGCGGCTCGAGCGCATAATCGGATAAACGCGCGCCGGCCATTGTTGCCCGCGGTAATGAGATAGACGCACTGTCCACTTTGATTATGTGATATTTATATTCGTACTATAGCTATCTTTATACACGGGTAGTGTTTATATATTATGAGCTTTCGAGACTCGGAATATGTATAGAGTGTCCTTATCGATGGCGCTCGCGCGTGCTTTCGCAGGCGTCGACGGCGGAGCATCGAGTTCACGCTCGTGCTATTAAACCGGTCGATCGTTGATTTTATTGTTTGTTTCGATTTAGTTATTGCGGAGTTTTGTATTTCAAACTTCATCGCGATTATCGAGCGCGGAATATTCCAAATGATTTGCTACTCGCAAAGACAATAATATCCGGAAGAACGACCAAATGAACGAAACAGATTATTATTATTATTACATAAAAATAAAAATATATATGCGCTTTACCGAAGTCGCTGAAAGAAATACGCGTTTCGTAAAAGAAAAAGAGCATCGTATATATTAAAGCGCAGTACAGACATTGAGCGTTATACCTATATATTTTTCAAGGGACATTCTGAAAACCTTTGTGCAAAAGACGCGCAGCTCACTACATGAACACGTGAAAGTTGAAAAAGTAAAAGAAAGACGGTCTCGTTCCCTCTCACCCTCTCTCTCTCTGTCGAGAAACGAGAAGAAGACGAACTCGCGCGCGTATTATATAGACAACAAAAAAAGCCCCAGCGCACACGCGCTTTAATACACAGCGTGCAGTAATACCGCTGCAGAGTGCAGATGTGTTGAAAGGCGCGCGAATCGAATTCAATTCGCCACGCTCGGAAGGAAGTGCAAGGATACGTACCCCGGCTGGTATACTGCATGGGTATTAACGAGCCGGAAAAGCGAGCTACGTGTGTAAGTGTGCGTGTGTGTGTGTGTGGCGCAGGGCGCACACTAGCGCACCAATGGTCGTGTCAACGCATTTATTATTATTATATATACGACGATAAAATACACCTATGGAAGCGAAGCTTGCGCGCGCGCACATAACGTACGCGTATACGGACGAGCGTATATAGAGCCAATGTAATTTGCGCACGTCTGTCGGGACTGTATACGCTGTTTGTCCAATCCTCTCCTCTCGGTCTCTTTCTCTCTCTCTCTTTTTCTCGACCGTTGTGTGCGTATAGATATATTTTTATGCCCGACTCGGTATACACACAAGCACATATATATATTGCATATGTATATCGACAACTCATATACGCGTATGTATACGAAGACGATGTACAGACACGGGACGCAACGCGACGAACGCACACTACTCGTTCGGTAGCCAAAGCAACAGCAGCAGCAGCAGCTTTTATTATAACGCGCACTGCGCGAGAGTCTCTCTCTGACTCTGCGGTGCATACGGAGTTTGTTGCGCTGCGTATACCGTGTACGGCCCTCTCGCAATCCTACACGATAGTGTTAATTTACGCGTGTCTTTCTGTGTGTCTGTGTGTGTGTTTGTAAATGGCATCGATTGCAGATGTTTTGTGATGCGACGCGCGATACAACGCCTCGCGAGTGCTCCAAGAGCCGCGAAAAGTACGAACACGAGTTCGTATACGGTTGTGTATACTCGAGCACAAAACGTATTGTAACGCGCGCAACAAATAAACACGTGCGCGTAAAAGTGAGAGACTGCCGAATAGCCGAGCGCGTCATACGTCAAACGTACACTCTCGCGACACTCGACGTGATTATTGGCGCTTTTGCCGCGCCGCAATCTTCCTAATAGTTCTCTTTTTTTCGAGTTTTGTGTGCCTAATATAGCTGCAACGAGTTTGTTCTCTGTGCGCGCGTCGGTCAGTTTAGTGCCTCGTATACACATCGAGCTTGTGTGATTTGTGTCTTTTGTTCTTCTCTCGCCGAGCGTTTGTGTACTTTATAGGTAGTCGAAGCTCCGGGTACATAATAGTAGTACTATAGTTTTTGCTCGCGGTGACGACGACGACATCGGCATCATGGTGATTATTTTGCGATCCAGCAAATTGGCCCTGCGAAGGAGCAGGAGGCCGCGTTTACTCCTGACCCTGAGAAAGCGCAGGTTCAGAAGAAGCAAAAAGGTAATTCGTCACGCGCGTGTAACAGCTTATCAAGCTCCTAAAAGTAAGGACTGTCGTTTATCGCGAGCCAGTCGGACAACTCGGAGCAGACGGACAAACTACGTATATATTGTCGTCTCGATTCCATTTATCGATATATTTAATTATGGAGACGGATCGTCACAGAGATCGCGACGCGCAGAACAGATACAACAATTGAGATTATTCACACCGCGCTTGTACACTCGATGCATCCGTACGTGCATCGTACACGCGAACGACGCTTTGATGCGGCTCCTCGAGCCTATGTATATATCTATCTAGATGTGTGGGTTAACCCCGCGCAGCGAGCCGGTATGCGCGTCCCCGTGCAAACGATCGCTTTTGTGCGGTACGCGTTGGTATATGTATATTAAGCATCTGCGCATGTGCGCACGAATTGTTATCGAGCTCTTGCATGTGCGAGTGACTCATTACTGCAGTGCATGTTCGGAGGATACCAACCACCTGCTTTATCGACGCCGATCGAGCTGGACTCGTGCAATTACACGTGTTACATGATTATTTGCGAATTTCGATATTTTATAATTATTGCTTCTAATTCTCATTTGTATCGATTCCGAGAGTGATTTGTTTTTTATTGCTAACCGACTCTCCGCGTGTCTGTTGGTTGCTCAAACATGGCATACACTCGCCTTTTTTTATCATCGTCAACATTTCTCATGGCTCTCATTACTCATGCACCGATTGATACAAAAAAAAATTGTTGTGTTTTTATTCTTTAAGAGGTGTGCGTTATGGTTTGTCTCTTTTGAAACAAAAAAAGCTGAATAAAAAAAAGTGTCGTTATTATTCGCATCTCGACTATAACAGGAGCGAATCGTCTCGTCGAGGAAACGTACGCAACGATTATGAACGTAAACTATCGAACGATATATAGCTCGTCGTCGTCGTCGTCTTCGTCTTCGTCGCTCGCGAAGCACGAAAATAGCACGTGACTCGAGCCGATACTCGCGTTTCACGTGGCCTGGAATAATAATATTACAATATATACGTTATAGAAACGAATGCATCTTAATGCGGTTCAAGCAGTATAGAATAATGAGTTAATTTCGCATCATCGTTGGTTTTTTTTTCCTCTGGACTCGCCGCCAAGAAAATAAAATAAAAATATTCTTCGGTTTCCATCGGGTAACTATATTGTTAAGCGTCAAACTCAGCTCGACCGATTTCTTCGGTCTCTCTTCGATTTGATGTAGAAACAGTCCCTGCACACCTCGTCGTGGGTCATTATAAGTATAGGAATTGGCCTGGTGCGTCGCGTCCGTTGCTCCTCCGACACATTGCGCGTTATCGCTCGTTACACATATTACAAGGCGTGCGTGCGTTGCATATAGCACAATAATAAGATGCACCCTTTATTATACAAATATATCTTTCGTTCTTTCGCTTTATGTGTGTGTGTCTGCTATATAAACGACGTATCGAAGTCAGAGCGAGAGAGACAGAGGGACCGATCGCCGGTCTAGATATTATGTACTCGTGTGTGCCCGCTGCAGGCTTACGTGTTGCACCTTCTCTCTTCCTCGCAGACAGCAGCAGCAAAAAAAGCCCAAGATAAGAAATAATTACCCCGCGGTATTTGGGGGTATTATACACACACACACACACATACACGTACACACGTTTACGCGTGGAATACCACTGGACGCAAAAGAACGACTGCAGCTCGGAAAGAGAGAGAGAGAGTCAAGACGTTGATAATACTACTTATGTATACGTATAACACGGAGTACATATAGAGAGAGAACCTCGCGATCGCCGGCCTTGGCGAATATCTTTCGCCACTGCGCGCCGCTGCCGCCACGGTCGCCGGTATTCGATGCATTTTAAGCGATGGGAAAGTCAAGGAAGAGAGAAGAAGAAGTGTATGTGTGTGCATTAAATACACACAGACAGAGAGAGAGTCTAAGGGGCAGAGAGTAATTAAAACCGGCGACTGCACATGTGCGCTGCGCGCGGCGCGGTGTATACGTAAGGTTGAACCGAGCGAGAGAGAGAGACGCGCGAACGATTTCGCGTATACCCATACTTGCCTGTATTTTATACGTAATCGTTGCTCTCTCTCTCTCTCTTACCGCACGACGACGATGAATGTGCCGAAAATTTTTCGGATGCGCCGTGAGTTCTGACTCTACCGGTTCTCTCTCTCTATATATATATTTTCATTGCCGCGCACAAGAGTATAGAGTCGATGAAATTTTGTTCTCGCGTTATTTTACGTCGATTATTATTACTTGAAAAAAAGAAGAAGTAAAGGAACAGAAACATTAGTTTCAACAAGAACAAAATATAGATTTCTTCGAGACCGATATATAATAGGTGCCGTAGTAGCGCACACGCGAGGCGTTGAGCCGCGGGTTTTTCAAAAATAAAAGGGAGGGAGGCCTCAACTGCAAGGCTCTCGGACTCGGCTTATCTTACATCGAAATCGTACCAGTTTTCGCGGCTTATAAATATCTAATTGCAGCTGTTACGCCGCTGCAGCGTGCAATATCGCTCACGCTATGTTCCATTGTATTATCTCTCTCTCTCTCTCTCTCTCTCGTGGTAGGTAGCACTTCCTTTTGGGATACGGGGCATATATATGATAATTGAATGATCAGGTGCATGTGTGCTGCGCGCCCCTCGTATCGTTCCGTTCCCCGTATCTCTCTCGGCCCAATTATCGCGTTGAACTTGCACACACACACGTTTTCCTCGCTATGTTTTATACTTATAAAATTTTACATAAACACATTCGCATTGCGTAATGTGCGAGACCAATCGATATGTATAACTAACGATCTCTTTTCTCTTTGTCGTGTATACACAGGTACCGGCACCGCTGCCGATCTGCCGCGAGTGCCTGGGAACGACGGCGAGCGGCAACAACAACAAGCAGCGCAGCACGTCGTCGGCCGCGTCGCCGGCCTCGTCGTCGCCCCAGCGAGGAGCAGCAGGTGGAGGCGCTGAAAGAATAAGCCGCTGCAACTCGTGCGGCGCCGCCCTGCACTGGGCCTGCGCCCCGACGGAGCTCATCCAGCTGCTGGAGCGCGGCGGCAACTGGTGCTGCGACGACTGCGCCGGCCAGCCGTGCGCCGGCTGCCAGCAGGACCGCGAGACCCAGACCTACCTGGTGCGCTGCCACGGCCCCGGCTGCCCGAGATCCTATCATCTCACCTGTCTCGATCCGGCGCTGGACAAGCGCAGCAAGGCGCCCTGGAGATGTCGCGCCTGCCTGGACGGCGGCAACAAGCCCGAGGCCACGAGCGGCGGCGGCGGCACGCCGCAGACGAAGAAGCACGCGGCCGACTCGAGCACGAGCAGCAGCAGCGCCAAGAAGAAGCAGCAGGCTAGCGCCAAAGACGCTCGAAAGTAAGTGCACGACTGAGCGTAATCGATGCATTGTTGTCATCGTAGTACGAATCATTCATATATAAAAAATGCAATCCCTAATCGTCATTAAAAAACACGATTTTCATTATCCTCTCTTTTTGTGTGTTTTTTTTTTATTCTTCGACTCGCGCACACGCAGGTCTTTAGCAGCGACACCGGCATCGTCGAATCGAAAATCCACCGTGGCAGCGACTCCGACGTCCTCGAGAGGAGGAGCCGCGGCTACGACGCCGGGAGGAGCCGTAACATCGTCCAGCAAAAAGTCATCGGCCACGTCGGAATCGGCCACGAGCAGCAGCAGCATCAAACACGCGTCAGCGGCCCAGGTGGACAACAGCTCGGACGGTAATGCGGGTGTTGTCTCCCCTCGTCAGCCTTCGTCCTCTGTCTATACCTTTCCCGATCCACTTCTCGAATTTTCTTCTCAATCGTCCGCGTCCCCGTCCCTGCATCATTGTCACGTGTCACAATCCTCCTCCTCGTCCTCCTCCGCCGTCGTCCACAACAGCAACAGCGGCAACAAAAGTCAGCAGGCGCTGGGCGTCTCCTCCGCGACGAGCAGTAGTAGTAGTGGTGCTGTCGGTAGCAGTGATAGCGGCGCGACGACGATCCTCTCCCCGAGCGCCAAGCCGCTCGAGGAGAAGAACGATAGGATATCCAAGGAGAAGCAAAAGTTCTTCAGATTGAGCGCCTTCAATGCCAAGCACAAGAAGCTGAAAGCCGCGGCCGCGGCGGCGGCCTCCATGGACGAGAGCGGTAGCATCGGTAATAAACCTCCGAAGAGGGACGAGTGCGGCGGCGCTGTCAAGCGCTCGCGACCGGCATTGAAAGCCTCGGCTGCGGTGCGCCAGAAGAACCGAAAGACACACAAAAAGTCCAAGACGCAGACTCATAGCGACGAGGAATCCAGTGATAATAATGACGAAGTCGACGACGACGACGACGAGGACGACGAAGACGACGATTGTCTGAGCTCCAGCAGTTCGGACGAGCAAGTCACCGAGGAAGTAAAGACCGTTCAGAAGCGTAAAACACTGTCGTCCTCGAAATTGTCCTCGTCGTCCTGGAGTAAAAAGAGGAGCAACGACTCGAGCGCGGATCAAAACCGCGTCGGCAGTAGTAGTAACGTCAGCGGCAGTAATAATCAAAATAATAGCAAAATGTCTGGCCCGTTCGCCTGCAATCTCGACGAGAAGAAGCCCTGGGGCTTCGCGGCGGCTGCGGCGAAACTCGGAGTCGACGGCGAGAGTCCGTTTTTCAGCAACCTCAAGGCCTTCGGAGCACCGCTGCCGAAGCTCGAAGTTGGCGACAAACCCAAATTCGCCGTGGGCTTGGATCCGCTGAACACGGACAGAACGAGAAGCAGCGTCGTTGCGCTCGATTCAACTAGTAAGACGTCGCATCAGCATCAGCAGCAGCAGCAGCAGCAACCACAAAAAGTTAAAAGTACATGTAATAGTGATAATAGTTGTAGTGATAAAGATAAGAAACAGACACAGCAGCCAAGGCCAAAGCAACCGGGTAGCGGACAGCTACGTGGATTATACGATGGTTTGAGCCACTTTTACTCGGCTCCGATTAGCACGAGCCGCGCAAAACCTGGCGCACCACCACCGAATTACGCGCCCGACAGGCGGAAAAAGTCCTCGTCGACGACGTCGCCGAGCGCGACGACAGCACAACAGCAGCAGGCGGCTCCGGACAAGAAAACGACCGCGACACCTTCTCCCAAGTCAACGGGCGTCAAGCCGTGCAACGAACAAACGAGCAAAGCCGGCCCGTTGCGAGGGAAGAAGGAGCCCGAAATGACTCTTGTGCCGAAGCCGAGCATCCTCGTGCCGGCGGACAAGGAGATCTCGATCTGCCTGGCCGACGAGGACCCGTCGGACATGTCGCCCTCGGGCCTGGTCAAGACGGCCGTCAACACTCAGCGGCAATTAGATCGCGCGTCGTCCGTTAAATACGCTACCACAGCCGAAGCCCACACGATGAAGCAAAAGTCAAAGGGAGATCGGAAGTCCGGTCAAGCCAGCGCCATGACAACCCGTCCCAAAACTCCTCGTCCAAAGTCAAATCCTCGTGCCTCGACTGGTGCCACCACTACCACTACCACCAACACCACCAACACCACGACACCCCGCGCGACACCCTGCTCCAACAGGAAGGGTAAGAGTCTACCCCGCCCGTTCTCTTTCTCTCTCTCTCGCTCTTTCACTATTACTTTTTATTCACCGCCTTCATTTAATTCACTAACTATTTTGTTGACTCCTTGAAGAAAAAAAAAATAATATAGACATTTTGTTCTCCGCAGCGACTTTTATTACTTTTGCATTGAATATAATTTTTTTCTCTATATATTTTTGTTCACCTTCGTAATTATTATTAACTTTTTTTTTTTTTGTAAAGTACGTGCCTTCAATACTTATCATATCCTAATCATCCATGTTTCGGTGAAATCATCCTTGAACATATATAACTCTGATTCCTTCACTCATGACTTTTTCACTTGCTCAATCTATCATACCACCGTGGATGTGTTGGCGGTGTGGTGTGGTGTGGTTTTTTTCGTGTATGCCTGTGCATTTGAACAAGAAGAGACATGGTTGTTCTGTGACGAGTTTTGTTGGAAATATCTTTAAATAACATGAGATGCTTTTTTTATTCACATAAATTCAAGAGGAATCTAAGAAAAAAGTTTTATTTGAAGATCTTCATAAAATTCGAAAAGGAAGTAATCAAATGGAGACTGAACTAGAAATGAAGACAAGCTCCTCCAGAACAATCAAGTTTTGAAAAAATCTTTATGTGGTGAAACATGGTGCAAAGTCATTGGAAGTTTTAAATACATCAATGATACCAAAATCACGTACAGCCAGATTATTTCTCATCGTGGAATTATTTAATATATACTGCATGCGATCGTTTCATTTATCAAAACATTGCTTTGGTGAAGTAATGTATTTTAATTTCTGCATGTATGGGCATAACAATGTTAATTTTTCCCTATTTTTACCGTCCAACAACAATTTTTTTTATTATTATTGAATACTAACATCACCACTAGAGAAATGAAGTACACTTTATACTTAATTGTTTTTATCGTATATAATAAAATCTGGGAAAACAGCCAGCACATCCTTTTAACTTTACCTTATAGCTTTATCCAATTGACACATTATTATTTTAATTATTTATTATTGTTTTTTTAATTTTTATTAAAAGTGTTATTTTTATGGCTATCAGTGCATAATTATCATAAAAATTTTTCCAAAAATCAATTCATTACATGAATTTTTTAAACTCAAATGACTCATGTCTTTCATTCAAATTTAGTTACTCGTAAGCTATATTGTTAATCAGTATAAATAAAGTATTTCACAAGCACATTAAAGTTGGATAAAATTTGAAGTAGTAGAAAAAAAACTCTAAATTCTGTTGGAATACATTTGCTTCACACCATGAGAGCCATAACATATTGTACAAACTTTATTTCGACCAATCAACATCAGACTCAATAAAATTTTTTCCTCTCCCATTACAGAAGAAATGGTTTTACCTCAAACTTTGCCAGCTGGTGTCACCCAAAAGGATGTGGAATTGTTCAAAGAGGCTCGTGAAAGAGCTAATCGTATGACATTAGCCGAGACGCAAAAGGACGATCAAGACGCTGCTCCGCCGCTAATCGTTAGTCCTGGAGGAACAGATACGCGAAATCCTGCTGCTATCGTTTTCGGGCGCTACGAGGTCGAGACTTGGTATTCGTCACCGTTTCCGCAGGAGTACGCGAGATTGCCCAAATTATTTTTCTGCGAATTCTGCTTGAAGTACACGAAGAGCAAGGCAGTTTTGGACAGACACATGAACAAGTGCAAAAAGAGGCATCCTCCTGCTACTGAAATTTATCGTTGTAATGGTTTATCAGTATTTGAGGTAAATATTATCTATCGGATTTAATCGCCAAAAAATTATGTCATCAACTTGTTTATAATTCAATATTTAATTCATTTTCAGATTGATGGTAATGTAAATAAAATCTACTGTCAGAATCTTTGCCTCTTAGCGAAACTTTTCCTGGATCACAAAACACTTTATTACGACGTGGAACCTTTCCTTTTCTACGCGGTAACCAAGAATGATAAATACGGTTGTCATTTAGTTGGTTACTTCAGCAAAGAAAAAAATTGTCCAGCACAGCGTTACAATGTTTCTTGTATCATGACTTTGCCTCAGTACCAACGACAAGGTTACGGGCGGTTCCTAATTGAATTCAGTTATTTACTATCCAAAGTCGAAGGGATTCCTGGTACACCGGAAAAACCACTCTCAGATCTTGGACGAGTGTCTTACCACTCGTATTGGAAGGGCGTTATTTTAGAATATCTCGATGCGCATCGGGATACAGGTGAACTCAAAATTGCTGAGATCACGAAGGTACAGCTTTTTTCTAATAATTTAGCTTCTGAATTGTGTCTAAATTGTTTGAATTGTGAAAGTAATACTAAAATAATTCCATCTTTTTAGGAGACTGGTGTATCGAGTCACGACCTGGCAACAGCCATGCAGTTATTAGGTTTCCTGCGTAGTGTACCAAACGACGAAGGCAAACGACATCTGGCTGTTCTTGTTGATTGGGATAAAGTCGATGCACATGTAGCCAAAGTTCAACGCAGTAATCGTATACAACTTGATCCGGAATGTCTTCGTTGGATACCTTTGTTGCCACAATTACCAACCACAAGTCCAGGAGATGAAGCTAATGATGCAGATTCCGAACATCTTGACTCCACTGACGACCAACAAATGATTTGTGCCTCAAATAAACCTGTTGCAGCTATGCCTGAAAAGGTGCAACGAATCAAAATCAAAAAGAAATCTCGAACGTCAAGAAAGTTAGGAGCGCATAGAAGATCCACGCCTATGAGGCCTAAAGTAATGTTCCATAAAAATAAGACGCCTCGAAGTGCGGATAAGAGCTTCGACGCTGTCGATAGCAGCGGAAAAGACGACGAACGGTCGCCCGAGAAAAAGAATATAGCAACAACTCCAAAATCCACTAGAACTGTTTCGAACTCGCAAAAGAACTTGGCTGGAGTTGCGAAAACTCTCGCGACAACCACGCCTTCAGCCACATCTCGTCGCAGCGTAAGAACAGCTCTGAAAGCTACGACTCCGGCGGCACAGGGTCTTGCATCGCCGAATACCCCATTATCTCGGAAGCGTAAATATTCCGAAAAAACCACTGATCCCGAAGATGAATTGGTGGAACCTGTCCCGTCTGGCAGAAAACGGGTTCGCGAGTCTCGGGAAAAGGATAAGGATTCTAACAAAGAGAAAGAAAAAGAGACCAGAAAGAAGGAGTCCAAATCGAAAGAGAGTAAAGAAAAATCAAAATCTTCGCCAGAATTGAAAGCAGTGAAGGAAAGTGCACGAATCAAAGAACGTGTGGCTGCTAAGGAGGCATCTCCGTCTGCTGCAACAAGATTACAGCGATCACCGTCTAAGGAGCAATCACCTGTTAAAAATGTTGGGAAGTCTAAGAAGCAAACGAAAATCGACGATATTTTACTAAAATCCGATGGTCGACATAAGAGCGCATCTAAGTCGGGTCGTGAGCGACGTGCTAGCGGTACAGCTCACTCAGCTGACAACGAAGAATCGTCAATTCGCGGCAATTCGCGATCATCCAAAAAAGACAAGGATTCGCTTCCATCTTCGCGACGTCGTTTGAGAATGCAACCCGAAGCTGTTACCGATAACGAGACCGAAGACGTTATGGAAGTGACAAAAGAATCCAAAACCGCAAAGAAACAGCTTACCATTACTGAAATGTTTACGAGTGCCACTGCTTCTGCACCAGCGACTACTAATACCGAAACCTCTAGTGAAAATGAGACTCCTACTGAATCGAATAAAACGGATAAGCCCGAAAATGCTGTAATGAGTATGTCGCCACCTCGCGTTATGAATTCTTCGATTTCGAGTCCTGCCGAGTACGAAGCTGGAGACGAAGATGACGGAGATGATGAGGAATTGTTGTTACCAAGAGCTGAAGTTAATAGTGTGATAAAGTCGCTTGACGCAGCGATTGAATCTGAGAAAGATGCTGAAATGGAGGCAGCCGCTGCTGCCGCCGCCGCTGCTGCTGTTGAGGTTTTGAAAGAGAAAGAGCTCATTAGTTCTTCGATACAGGATATCGACATGACTGAACCTGAACAGAAAAATGAAAAAGAAGAGAACCCCGAACCGTTGTCGAATATCATTGATGAGCCCATGGAAGAGGAACCTCCGATAGAAAAAACTTGTGACCTTAATGCTGAAAAGAGTGCAGATCCTATCAGTAAGGAAGATATTCCTGTTACAGAGATGCCTTTGGAGGCTCCAGTACAAGAAAAATTGACACATCCGGTAGCGGAAAACAATGACTTTCAACAGGTATCACAGCAAAATCAACAAATCATAGTGACTAATCATGCGAGTGTTATAGAATCCTCTATAACTAAAAGTCACATGCAAACTGTTGCACCTCAAGAAAAAGTTGCTTCTGCACCGACTGAACCTACTGCGGAAATTACTCCAGTGGTTAACCATCCTGAGGATAAACTTCATTCGCCGGAAAGTGGTAAGCTAAATTGATGTTTAAATAATGTTTTTTTTTTAAGATTCAACTTGACTCTTACTAATTTTATTTTTTCGTGTGTATTTTAGGCAAAACAACACCGCATCCCGAAAATCCTGGTTCAGTGAAACGTACGCCGCCTTCGCAAGCAGATCTTCCTTCGATGGGCGTGTATACCCCTGATTCGACCACGAATTCGGTGCACTCGCTTCATTATGGTCAATGCGATCTTGACGTCAGTCAATTGGGACTTGAGTCGCCTACTTCTATTGCTAGTGACTTGGCATCACAAAACAGCGTTGAAAGACCGCCCAGTGCATTACCCTCCATGCCTGCTCAACAGTCGCAGACTGTGCAAGTGGGGCCATTGACAACAGGAGTGCCAATGCAGCTGAATAGTCAAACTTCTGGGCACTCTGTTAATTTACAAACTCAACAAGTGCACCAGCAGCAGCAACAGCAGCAACAACAACAGCAGCAACAACATCAACACCAACATCATCATCAGCAATCGCAACAACACCTACAACATCAGCAGCAGCAACAGCAACAATATAACGACTGCTCGCTGCCGCAGCATGCGGCTACCCAGCACGTAAATATTCAGCAATCTCATTCTCAACAACACCAGTTGCAACATGCTGATAAAAACCCATATGTAAATAAATTTTATTAATGGTAAAAAATTTATTTTAAAAAATGTACGCTACAACAATTATATTTTTTAAATAGCTTCAACAGCAACCGCTGACGCCGCAACAGCCTCGCACCCCTCAGTCGCATACTCCTCAGAGTTTACCAACTCATAGCCCGCAGCCAGTGCAGTCTCTGACTCCTCAGCCGTTGTCTCAGCCTCATACACCTCAACCTATTCCACAAACGCACACGCCTCAACCAATGACTCCGACTCAGTCGCATACGCCGCAACCTATGCAACTATCGATGGTCCAGCAGCAGCAGCAACAACAACAGCAGCATCATCAACAGCAACAACAACAGCTACAACAGCAGCAACAGCAACAACAGCAGCAGCAGCAGCAACAACAGCAACAGCAGCAACAACAACAACAACAACAACAGCAACAACAGCAGCAACAACAGCAACAACAGCAACAGCAACAAAAGCAACATTCAAGAACTCAATCTCTAATTCATGCTCATAGTCAACAGTTGCAATCTCAACCTCAACAACAATCACATTCACACTCACACAGTAGCAAAAGATCTAGTTCTCAAAATTCTCATAGGTACAGTTTTATTCATGTTCTTTTATCAGTTTCTTTCTATGTAACCAATAGGATTGTTTCAATTCAAAATTCTTAAAAATCATTTCAGATCATCAAAATCTCAGAGCAGCAGGTCTTCGCATCGAGGCACGCCACCGACGACGCAAACGCAAGCACAGCAATTGCAACAGCAACAGCTTCAACAACAGCAGCAGCAACATCAACAGCATCAGGCTGCCCTCGCCACCGTGAGCCACAACAATCATCTGGCGCAGCAGTACCAGCAGAGCGTTGCTCAAGTCGGACATGCGCACGCCAGTCATAACATGGCAGTGATATCCCAGACCTCGGCTGCCAATTACATGGCTGTGTCTCAAGCAATGGCTTTTCCAGCAAGTCAAAATACTTACGTGATACATCGACCGAGTCGAACGAGCTCGCACACTCCGGTCTGCACGACAGCTACGAACTTTTACATCCAAACGACACCGGTGCCGCCGAGTCATACGCCAACTCCGACTCTCAGCCCTGCTAGTGGTCCGAATCATCAGACGCAGCAAGGGCCGACCAGCCTGGCGAAGCTTCAGCAGCTGACCAACGGTTTGGAAATGATGCCTCCAGCTCCCAATCTTACGCCACCGTCGCCCATTTCTCACACAACGCCGCACTCGTCGAGACAGTTGTCAACGCCACCCCAGGTTCCCTCCATTAATTATGCCAAGAACTATTACAACGTTCAGCCGCCATCGGCACCGTCGTCCGTGCCGCCGTCGTCGAGTCGTTCCACCTCTCGATCTTCAGCCACACCAACAGGCATGGCGAGTCCTCTGGGCTCGCCTTACGTTCCGACCGAAAGCCTTTACAGACAAACGTTGGATCCAGGTAGCAGTTGTCCGCAGATGCAAAGCGCAGCGAGTCGCGTGAGCCCTAACGTTGCCATCAATACAAATCTTATGGCAGCCCAAGCAGCCTACGGCTATCGTCTCAATACGGGGCAATCTACGAGCGGCTACATAAATCAAGCAGCCCAACTCGGCAGTTTCATGAACCCAACAAGTCAATTACCCGTCGGAGTTGTCAATGTTCAGCCATATGCTCAAGATCATCAGCAGAATCCGGCTACGGTTTACACGACGCATTATGGCTACATCAACGGCAGTCTCATGCAGCCGCTGAACGGGACCATGAGACCTCGCTAGCGACCCTAGAACGCGGCTAGCGCGTTTAACGTGCCACCGCCAAGGAATTCGATTTAAGCCTCCTATCTTATAAGGCATGACAAATGTTTTTCATTACATGTAATGATTTTAAACATACAAAAACAGAAAGTTCTTTGACTGTTTGCATTATTAACGATCTTCCAAGATTCTCTTTCAAATTAGTTATTGTTGTGTTGTATTTGCCTTGAAAACTGAAAAAAAAGAAATTACCGTGATGATTTTAGCGAAGTATCGAGATAAAATCAGTGGTCGTATAAACAGATCTGTTTAGAATCTTCAGTATTTTAATCGTATCCGTTATTTTTTGTCTCTATCGAAAATTGATTTAAAAGCAATTTTAGATAAGAAGATTTACAAGCTTTATGGTTGCTTGTATGTTTACCTGAAATATTTACGTACAGCATTTAGGAAATGTAGCGAAAATGGAATAACTAAATTGAATTGTTAGCAGATTATAGGAACTTGGTCATCTATTTGACAATTTAATTGAGCAAATTCGGGGCATTTTCATCAATTTCTATCTTTTTGCAGTGTTACGTTATATGTGTATAGTATAATGATATTTGTATCTAGAAGAAAAAAATTTGAGAATTAAATAGGAAGATGATATACTTACATTTAAAATATTCTGTTTGATATAATCAATTGTTGAACGTTGTTGTTTACGTTTTAACAGGGCCCGCTGTACTTTATTGTATTATATGATATGATATAAATGATTAGGAAGCATTAATTTTGTTTAGCTGATTCAGGTATAGAAAGATACAATAACAATAATAATTTTTTATTATTGTAATCAACGTGGATCGTCGTCATTACTTTTATTATTGCTATTATATATTATTTATAAAAAGTTATAGATTGTAAGAAGTGATGAGGTAATGCGTGACGAGCATGTATTATATAATTAGTGCATTGATAATTGCGCTTTTTTATGTCCTATTTTATATTCAATCATTGCACTCATTCTTGTATTTATTAGAACTTCATACGTTTTTTTCATAAACTTTACTGGTTATGAATAATTTCATTTGTTTGGATTAGTCCTAGTCTTGTATTTCTCTTCTTTTTTTTTACAAAAAATATGTAAATTGTAAACCTAACAGTTTATATTACTTACAATCAATAATACTATTATCTTTTCTTGATTCATAAATGTGGTAATGATGTAATAAATTATGGAATTAATTAACTATGTATATATACGATATAAATCGAAATAATTATTGACTCAATGGGCTATTCCTCAAAGTGTCATACAAGATATAGTGTACACAATGAGTATAAAAATCAAATTATTTTTTGTATTAGTATTGTAGAGAAACGTGGTAAAGAGAAAAAAAAGCGTGAATGGTTGTACGTAAGAATGAATAAACTCGTGTGATACGTGATAAAAAAGTGAAAACAATATAAACGAGAGTAATTAAACTTAAAATGCCTATTTTGCCCTGAGAAAAATACAAATTATCAAGGGTGCTCGCTTATAATTGAAACCTTTAAGTTTCAAAAAAAAAAAAAATCTCGCGACACTTTGTGGAATGGTCATGAATTATAGATAAATATATATAAAAATACAGTTATATATATTTAAGTATTCAATATTCATGATACTGACGTATATAAATATATATAAATACACGATTATATATTTATACATAGTAAATGATAATTTTTCTTTCGAATCGATCAGAGTGCGTGAAGTTACAAGTGAAGAAAAGGAACTTGGCGCGTTAGTTTTTAGAATATAAAATAATATATAAATATATATAATACCTTTAAGAATATTATTATAATGTAAAAAATATCAATATTTATTGTACATAAATATACAAAAACTACTAACAAATAAAATTTAAATCGTGAAAAATTAATGATATCGTCGCTTTTTGTGGTGGCTCCTTTTACGTACCCCTACGATTTTTCTCTTGCCCGTAGTCGCCGTCGTCGTGCTCCTCCTCGTATTCGACGACGACGTTTTTGTCCTCGTCCTGGTCGTTCTCCTCGACCTTTAATTGCGTGACGTGACTACATTATAGTACACATAAAACATCGTGTGCGTGTACGCGCGAAATGTCCAAAAAAAAGTGCAAATACGCCGCGAAAACGCAGCTCTCTCACCTGTCCTTGCTCGTAGCAGCAGCAGCAGCAGCAGCAGCAGCAGCGGACTGCTTTTTGTAATTGTTGGCGAGGGGCAGCGGCGGCGGCGGCTTCGGCCTGACGAGCCTCGCGCGATCCGCCTCGGGATCCTTGCCGAGGCTGAGGATGCGCTTGCCGTTGCACTTCCTCTTGCCCTTGTTGCTGCGCTGCTGGCGCCTCGTGACGCGCCGGTCCTTCTCCTTGCTGGCGATCTCGATGTACTTGCTGCGCTGCGCCTCGCTCATCGTCTTCCAGCGCTGGCCGGCTATGCGGGCGATCTTGGTGACGGGCACGTCGGGCCGCTTGTTGCGCAGCCTCAGAAAGAACGCGAAGAAGGGATTGGTGGTGCGCAGCAGCGAGCTCTCGAGCAGCTCGCGACGCTGCTCCCGGCGCGAGTGGGACTTGCTCGTGCCGCGAAAGTCCTGATCGTTCACGGTAGTACCTGTTGCCGAGCTGCGGCGCGCGGCACTTTGGAGGTAAAGGGTCGCGTTATTGGGGAAGAGACAGAGTGCCGACCGTTTCGGGAAAAAACTTACTTTTCGAAAATTTTTTCGGCCCTGGATGTGTGCTTGCCCGACGATTTTCTCGATTTTACATTGCCCATAATCGAAAATGACGCTCGACGTTTTTGTAATCGGCATTTATGGTTACATGGTTAATTTTGGCCCGTGCCTTGAGTATCCGGCTATTATCAAAATACTGAACGTAGCAGCGGCTTGAAATTATCGCATTATCGATCGGATGGAGCAATGTATACATTTTGTTTTTGAATCAATTTACACTTGCACCATTTCTTTTTAAATATAAAAAATATATATACTCGTGTATTTGAAACGTTTCAACAGGTAAAGTACACGTAATTCGTAGTTTACAAAAATTGCTCTGAGCTTTTTACACGACTTACGATAAGGAAGAAAAACATAATGTTATATTTACAAAGAGTATTAACGGGAGTAATTCGCAACAATTTTAGCGCGCACCGATTCACAGCTCGCCGCCGGCCTTGCGGGATTTCTTATTGCTGTTGTCGTTGTTCTTCTTCGCGCCAGCCGCGCTCGGGCAGTAGCAGGCCTGCCTCTGGGCGTCGAGGTAGCTCTTGCAGCCGAGGGCCGTGGTTCCCGTGTGCAGCAGCTTGGCCGCGGCCTTGCACGCGTTGACGATCGCCGTGGCGGCGCTCTGCTGATAGCCGTCGCAGTATCTGTACAGGCAGCGCTTGAACTCGAGATCGCATCTGTCTTTGTCCTGATTGCACGTGTCGTAGCAGATGTCGTGGGCGTTGCAGCACCTGGTCATCTCTTCGAGGGGCAGGTACTGCTGATCGATCTGTGGCATATGAGGCGTGAAAAAAAATCGTTAACCCGAGAATTTTTCGATTTAACGCTGCGATCGTTCTTGTGTACGTACCTCGAAGCCCAATGATCCACAGCCATTGCTCTGAGGTTTGTGGTTCCAGTCGGCTTTTGGTGAGGCTCCTGTATAAGAGAAACAAAATGATAAGTTGAGAGCTTTTGAATTAAGCGCGCGCGCGTCACACGTTATAACGACATGCAATCTTAGCAAATGTGCTTTACGTCATTTCGTGAATAAACTTCGGTATGACATTTTTACAAATATTACCAATATAATTCGATGTTTGTATAATTATAATATTTTACTATTGATTAACATTTTTGAGATTTTTAATAAATGATGATGACAATTACTTGAAATTCCATTTAATAAAAATTTAAGCAATTTTTAATTGACTCCGTATATCAATAATCACGTGGAAAGTGTAAACACTTCTGGAAACTCAACAATGTCGCGAAATTGACATATTATGTAGGTTATATTCGCAATGTTGACAGAATCTGCAGCCAATGTGTACGATGCGATTCGCGATTCGCGATCCGACACGTCAAGCTGCACATACACGCATATATACATACAGTACGGGCGTCTGCTGCAGTCACTCACCGGACGGGCACTGAAAGTCGCAATGCTCCTCGACGGCGGCGTCGAACACCTCGTGTATGTCCTTGATCTTGTGCGCCACCGTGACGGCGTTCTCGAGCAGGTCCGTGAAGACCGTCTCGGCGGTGAGCACGGCGTCGCGCAGATTCTGCAGCAGGCCGGCCCCGTAGCCCGACCAGGCGTACGCCAGAAAAGTCAGGGCGTAAATGAAGAACTTGCGATACTGAAAGATGTCCATCGAGGCTGATGGTGCCGCGCGAGCTTTATTAATTATTACTACACCGATTGTTGCCTTGTACGTAAGAGTGTTGTGTATCACTGAGCGGGGGTACTTACTTGGTGCGTCGTCTCCGCGCGCGCGAGAGAGAATCGAGCAAAGGTATTTTTAGAGGGAACACTTGAATAAGCGACGTGCGTACGCTTGATAGGTAGAGTCGAGCTTCGCGTAAATTTCGTACTAGATCTGCAGGTATATAATACATGACATATAGCTGTCGTTCGTTGTAAGCGTTGCGTGGTTGCATTTCGGCGATGAATAAATGAGTCACGTTGGATTGCGAGTGAAAATACTTTATATATTATCTTTGTCAAATACACGAGTGATTAAATACATACATCGAAGGAAATTAATCCTTGTCATTTTCATAAAAAAAATTATCTTATCTACTTGAAACAGTGATGGAATACTGAGTGTGATATTTCAACAATTACAAAGGAGTGTACAAAGTTTTGGTGTAAATTAATTTCAATAACAAAAAAGATTTATCTTTCATTGATCAATGACTTAGATGCAATAAAAAACTAAGATATTTTTTATTAAATCAACAATTGGAAAATTTAAGCCAGTTTCTTGGCCAACTCTCCGCTTTCGTACAGTTTCTTCACATCAGTACCTCCTCCAATGAACTCTCCTTTGACGTATACTCTGGGTACGCTCCTGGCTCCGGTGAGCGTTCCAAGAATGTCTTGGAATTCATCCATATCGTCTCTTTTGTCCAGCTCGATAGCAGTGAATGCTTGCTTCAGTTTTTCAAAGCACTGTAAACATATGAATAACATATTAGAACTTGAATTTCTATTCAAATAGTGACATCATCAAAGCTATTTTCAATACTCACTTCTTTGGCCATTTTGCAGTAGGGGCATGAGCTTTTGGAAAAAATGACAACCTTGTCTGATTTGATCAAGTCTTGGACTCCTTCGACTGTAATGGCCATCTTGTTGATTGTCTTTGCTGTGCTGGAAACTGTACCCATTTACTTAACAAAAATTAAAAATACATTGATAATATTGAAACTATTCTAACTGAACATGTCATGTCAATCACAAATCTAAAACACTTGAGATCACTCGCTGAGGTTCAATTATGTTTTTCACAGTTTTAAATTATGATACATAGAGTACGGAGTACCTTCCCTCCCAGATGTTTCAAGACTGCTAGTCCACATTTGAGAAATAAATTGATAAAAAGTGTCAAAGTAAGCAAACATTGTAATCTTTTAAGGTTATATTATTATTGACTTGGAGAATTCTATACTTCTATCAAATATAAATGAATAATAGAATTGAATTATCAAAAAGGAGTCTATGAAGAAAATTCTAATGTGATAATTAATTTTTTGTGCAATGATATAAATTTAAGTGGTTTACTCAGAATGAAAGTTTATTAAACTACCAACATGATTAATTGAAAAACAAATGATAAATTGCAATAAACAAAACACAAATTAAGTGAATGCTCAAGAAGGAGTGGTTTAGAAAATTTTATACTATTGATTTTAATGCAACTCTACACACCAGTATTTAAAAACTATAGAGCACAAGTGTCAATTAAAAATTGACAAACTACCGACTGTATATAATATGATATAAACGAAAATGTAAGAATGTGACACCAAGAAGAAACCTTAATTAATTTACAGTAGAAAATAATTAAGAATAGAAATGATAAAACTAAAACTGATAGTTGATAAGACTTACATAAGTGTCAATCGGAGAGAGTATCAGTTGCGACTAACGTGATATTACAGCGACTGTGCTTGTAAATAAGTGTTCTACGCGGCGCGTAAATGCCCACGTAAGCGTATTGTTGCGTCTTACATTGTAAAGTTGGTCTTTCCCCGGTAATGGGGTAATGAGTCACGTGCGCATATTAGTTGCGTTGGAGCGAAATTTTGAACTCTACGAAATTTCCCAGGTGATGAATCAGTAAAAATACTTATGATATGGATAATGGATGGATTGATCATCATTATATTCATCTGTTATAAAAAATTGTTATTATAGAAAATAAGATGGTCGATCGGCCAAGTGTGGAAATTTGTGGATATGATACGTTCTATTTGTTTTCCCCGAAATACGCTAGGTCAAAAATATTTTTAAAATTTATTATTCATTAAGAAAGTGCTTTCTCAAAAACGAAAATTTGATATTAAAGATTTTTAACATAATGTGAGTAAAGAATAATCAATGAAAAATTTTTTATTCGTTAAAGAAATATTTTTTAACAAGAATTTAATTGAGTGGCGCTTTGTTTCAAACGTTTCATAAAAACATCTTTGGCTGGAGTTTATACTCCAAGGACTTATATATCACAAAAATATGTTGTAATTTTCTTAATTGATCTTTATTTCTTAAAATTAAACATAGTTGTAGTTGCACAGTTGAAATTTTGTAATTGATCTCGCATATGAGCTGCTATTCAAGAGCTTACTATAACCATCTTAGCGTTAAAACGTATGTACACCTTCGCCCAATTTTACATTATCATTATTGTATTTTTGATTATTCCAATTTACAGCACTGGATTTGGAGGAGAGCGTTCTTTCCCGCTTCTCGGATAACACGTGTCGCCACTATAGTTTACATTTCCAACACGCGCACCGGAGTTTTTAGCGCTCGCCGCTTGCAACTATAAGTCTTCTTTTTGGTTATAGCAAGGTAAAATACACATGGCTCTCCGTTGATATTTGCAATTTTTGTTATAAATTATTACATTAGTCATTGTTTAGTGTGTACGACAAACTAAAATCGTTGTTTTTTTTCAGTTATAACAAATCTCTATTGAAAAATGTCTGACGTTGAGACGTAAGTACAAAATTTTTATACCACATGTTTTTTCACAGAAATTTCCTTAAGATGTTATGTTGTGATAAATTTAATATTTTTCATAAGAAGACTTTAAAATTTCACCAAGTATTTATTTTCATTAACTACATTGACCATGTTAAACATTTATTTTAATATTATTAAATATTGTTAATAATATTTACTTCTGTTTAAATATTATTAATTTAGGTTATCTTTTTTTGAATGAATAATTAACAATGGTAATTGCTCATTTTTCAGCGATGATGTTCCCTCGGCAGTTGGTGGTCCTATGGACGTAAACACAGCACTTCAAGAAGTCCTTAAAACAGCCCTCATTCATGATGGAGTTGTACGAGGTCTTCATGAGACCACAAAAGTTTTAGACAAGTATGTCATGAATCTATTAATTACTGAACTTTAACTTTGCTTTAGTATTTTTCATTACTTATTAACTCATAATCATTTATAGGAGGCAAGCTGTTCTCTGCATCCTTGCTGAAAACTGTGAAGAAGCTGATTACAAAAAAGTCATATCTGCCCTGTGTAATGAACATCAAATTCCTCTCATCAAAGTTGACAATAACAAAAAACTTGGTGAATGGGCTGGTTTATGCAAGGTTGATAAAGATGGCAAAGCCAGGAAAGTTGTTGGATGCTCTTGTGTAGTCATCAAGGTAGAGTTTTTTTTTAATTTGATTTTTTTTACCTACAGTAAACTTTATCAAAAAAAATCTTCAATTATTATGATGAAATTTGGGCTCCCTCTACTGAGATGAACCCAAAAATTAAAATTTTTTGCTGAAAGAACCCATTTTTCTGATATATTATATCATTTGATTTGATTATTTGTTTAATTTATAAGTTCATACTAAATCTGGTATTTTTTTCAGGACTTTGGTGAAGATACTCCAGCTAAAGATGTCCTTATGGACTACTTGAAGCAAAGTGCTGTGCATTAAGTTTAGTTTAATAAAAAAACTATAAACAAAAAATTCCAGAAATTTTTTTATTAAACCACACATGACAGAAAATAATAATTTATGAGTAAAGCATGCATAAAAAGTTTCAATTATAATTATTCAAGACTGCTATCATTTGAAAATTTGGCTTTGGACTTTATTATACTTTCACAGAGACTTTTATGCTTTGGCCAATCTTTAACTTGACATTCTCTGAAAAATGATAAATATTAATGATATTAATGAAAAACGATAAATGATAAATTTTAAACATTTGCAACGCACTGTAGTTGTCAAGAAAATTTGTGACTTACCTAGAACAATAACTTGCTTCTTTGCATCTTGAACAGCGATGTTTTGCAACTTTCTTACAAACACATTTTTTAGATTCGATAACATCTAATTTGTCAAAATCATAAGCATCGCTCAAAATTTGAGCCATACTTTGAACATACTCCATATCTGTTGTAAATAGAGTTTTAGCTTGATGTTCTGCTAATCTTTTCCATCTTTTGTTATATTTTTCTCTAATCGAAGTACTTATCTAAAATGATTTTCAATTTCGTAAATAAATGACTTAAACATTTAAAGATGTAAAAAAATTGAGCAAAATCCAATAAGATTTACCTCAGGGATAATCTCTACATTTATGGGTTTTGGAGCTTTTGGTGTTTGAGAGGATACGTTCAGATAACCCAACCATCTTTTTAAGTCAATTAATGGTGTTAATTGATCAAGGACATTATCTTGTAAATATTTCTGTAACTAAAGGATGATTTTATAAGTTAAAAATTTACTCTCGAATTTTTTATATATTAAAATGAAGTTTACTTTTATTAACTGGGCCATACGAAATTCTGTAATATCATAATAAGGTGCGCATTTGGGATTCAGTAATAATTCTCTCAGACCAAACCATGCTTGACCTTCCATTTTACATATTTTATCCTTATCATTGTCAGTAATATCTTCCCATTTACCATTGTAAATTTTCCATGTGCCTTTACCATTATTAGTATTAGTATTCAATTTGCGTTTATTTTTTGGCTTATTGTTACCTTCACTTTCTTTTTTCCAAGGTTGATGTTCTATCAATTGAGATAATAAATATGGTACATCGTTGGTAGTCAACATACGAGATAGAGCACATAAAGGTAGTTGATCAGCAAATTCGGCCAAATAACGCAGTATGGAAATGGATCTCATTCCAATGCTAAATTCAATTTGGTCTTTTTTTTCTAATAATTCTTGTAAGCAAGAACTAAAATCAAAATTATTTTTAAATAATCAACCGCTATAGTAAGTATGTATTGTAAACTTACTCAGGATTTTCCTTAATTTCTTTTTTATTTGAATATAAAAGTTTAGTAAGATAATTTACGGCATAATCTATTAAATCAATGACAGATTCATCCATTGTTTCTACACTATCACTATGATACATTACATTTTCAAGAAGTGAAACAACTGTATCTTCATGATAAAATACGCTAAACAAAATGAAAGTATTAGCTGGTTCTTTGTGTAAATCAATCATTATAGGAAAAACTTTTTGTTTCCAAATCATTATTTGAATGGCTTCAACAACGAGGACAGGTATCTAGTTGAAAAGACCAATAGCTCAATACATAATTCAGTATTAAAGACAATTAAATAATCATATTTAAAAAACTAACTTTGTTGAAGCTAACAAACCACTCTTTTATATTTTCTTCTCTTAAACTATTTACTTCAAACACACTTTGTTGGTTTAAAAGCATCAATTTTTTATGATGTTCAAACCAGCTGTGAAAAAAAATAATAAAATAATAGTTTGCACCAAGTCTTAAAAAGTCTTAAAATTTTCATCCAATTATATCATAAACTATACCGTTTTGTACCAACATCATCAAGTTCAATTGGATGTAAATTTTGGATAAATGCTTCTGCTTCCCAAGAAGGTAAAATATTTTCTATATTTTCACTCATGCTTGACTTAACTTGAATTGTATCTGGCTACTAACTTAACTGTAACTAAGAGTCCTCCATTTGTAAACAAAACGCGGTTGAGTAGCGATGCTTTTTTATTAGAGAAAAAAGAATGTAGAAATAACTGTACCAATAAATTGATAATTATTATATCAAGTATTTTTGATTTTTCACAAACTTAAAACTAGAAAGGCACTCAATACAATTTTATATAAAAATAGCACTATGACATTATGATAAATAAAAAGAGTCAAGATTTACAAATTTATGATAAAATCAATTGTCAAACATGAGATGAATCATCATTAGTATCTGCTGCCATTGCTTCACGATTTTCATATGCCCAAAATCCATGGAATTCAATTAAAATACTGACCATTGTATCACCTTGACCACTGAAAAGAGATGACAATTTTATGTTAATAATTGATAAGGTGCAAAAGTACAAATAAAAATATTTAAATTTATCTTCAAATTTACCAAGATAAAAGATCTTGCAAAGTAATTTTGTAAGGATCTGCTGGTTTAACCATATCAAATATTTCATCTTTAACATCTTCAAAACTGACTGGTTCTTGACCATGCATTGTCATTTGTTCTTGAATTGCCTAAAATTACAGAGGCATAACGTAACTAAGGATTATAAAATATATTTTCAAAATACAAATCTTAAATCAGTATTAGCCTTACACGGAAGAAATAGTTCAAGCAAAATGTATCCAAATATCCTTTATTATTTATATCCAATATCCTGAATAAATAATGTAAGCTTTGTGGTTCATGTCGGTTTTCCAAAGCAAGTACAAAGTCTAAATATGTTTTATAGTCCATTTCACCTTCGTATGTTAAACATTCTTGAAAAACTCTTTCAAGAAAAACACCAGTCAATGTTCCAGTTCCATAACTTTGCAAATCAAACAAAGTGTTATTTTATAATTTTTTTCTAAAATGGATACAATTTTTGTCTAATGAAAATGAATTTTACCCAGAAAGCTCTTCTTTATTAAGCATGCCATTGTGATCCTTATCAAGATTTAAGTACTGGCCATATACTTTTAATGCAGAAGGTGCTGAAAACCAATTAGCTTCTTGTAAGTCTTTTGGTAAATCTTCATCACGCAATTCCAGTAAATCATCTAGGAAACTACAAGCTAGAATGTCTTGTATTCTCACTCTTCCTGTTCTCAAAGGATCCAAAAAGAAAAGAAATTTTCTAACAGCTGTGCAAACATAAAATGAATGGAAAGATTTTTCTAATCCTTCAAGTTGCGGCAGTGTTGGAATTAATTCCAAAATATAATTTTCTAAATCCTAAAATGACATCGTTATGAATAACTTTAACAGATACTTGAAAAGATACTAAAGTAGTTTTAAAATTCTTACTGATTCTCTTAAATAACCTTGTCCAGTAACATCATATAGCGATAAGCCTATTCTAGTTTGATGAAGCCAAACTTTTCTCATGACATAATTGAAAAGTGCCATAATACTTATTCTGCCATGGGGGTCACCTTGCTGTAATTTTGCAAAAACAACAGCCGTAAAATACAGACTGCATTTTGGTCCAGCTAGTTTTCCAACTTTTCTGAAATCTTCATAATTAATTAATTGCTCATCTCGGGCAATAGGAGGACTATGATGTTTGTCTAAAAGCACCCATAAGGCTTTCAATTCATTATTGTCTAATAGCTGACGAGAACGTCTCTGCAAAAATAAAGCTCTTGTTTCCTCTCGTAGCTTTTGAGGCAAGATTTCATCTTCTTTTGGTATCTAAAATACACATGTATTTTAAAAATTTTTTGACAAATAACAGATTGCAGATTAGATATTGAAAGTAAAGCATAATGTTTTTACCTTGAAGTAAAATTTAGGTATAATTTTGTAAGTTTCATCTGTATCTTTGGCATCAGCACCCTTCCATTTATTATATACTGTTTTGAAATGTTGATCCTCTATCTTTTCTTTTTCCTCTGCGTTTCGTGTAGTTTTGTCAAGAACTACAATAAATATTTTTCTTTATAATACCAATTAGTTCTTTTCAAAATTATTAATATTTATAATACCTTTATGGGATGCAACATAACTACGTAGTACCGAAGCCAATTCCATCACTAGAGATTTCGAAATTATTATTTGACGAATTGCATTTGACACATCAGTGTTGACCTGCAGACTGATGTTTGCTGTTTACAATTTACAGCCAGTGCCGCTGTTATGGTTATTCACGATTACACTGACATATGACATCAGTGACGGGTCATAAGCATGACAGGTTGAATAAGTCATAACGTTCAAAGGATAAGACTTCACCTAGTTTAAGTTGACTGTTAAAACTTTAATAGTTTACTTTTTAAAACATCAATAAGATACTATATTTTTGTCCCTTATTTAAAAATACTGTTAATTATTTCGGAAGATCGCCTTGAATAATATTAAAATTCCAAGGTATCTAATGCATCTGTGATCAAAATCCGTGAAAAAAATATTTACCCTAATAAATAATAATGATTTAAAATTTTAGCATAACGACAAAGTTCATGATCTCTCCATCTGCATAAACGTAAACGAAACAAAAATTGTTCTTATTTATAAACAAATTTTTTGCCTTATGATAGAAAATACAAATGGATAGTCGATCGATTACGCAATTATGACGATACTATTAAATATAGATCAGAGAAAGAAGGCGCCGATGCGAGACAAGGAAAATGCAACAATTCGACAATGATCATGAGTAAGCGATGTCGTTAACATACGACGCAGATTATTTAATGCGCACGTGGAAAATCGTTTTGGCAGCTCTCGCGCGGTCGCAGTGACGTATGCAGCTTCGCCAGTTGGTCTGCTAGAAGCCACTGACTCAGTTGCAGAAGTCGCAAATGTCATGAAAGCTTGAGTTTTGTATATCATTCTTTATTTGGTAAAACAACATGATCGATGACTTTTTACGATTCTTCATCGAAATTGATAATTTTAATCCATTGGGGCGTCTTCTGAATAATATCAATAGGTGAGCATCAGTGTTTCGAGCAATTCCTTGTGACCACACCACAATTGCGTGACCATGAATAAATAACCTTACATTTTATTGTTGCTTAATTTATTATTGCAATTATTGCAATAAAACGTAACAATGATTAAAAATATGTAACAAAAATTTTGATTGCGAAAATATATGCATTGAAAATATATACATTTCTTATATGCAATGTTTATTTATTTCCGTGTTTATTTGATTCAGTTCTCTAATTTTTTCCGTTTTATTTTTAGATAACGATACTAGATATATTGCTGAATAGTTCTTCATTATGTACAGGTAAAATAATTGTTAACTTGAATTGTTTCAGTCACGTGTGAATCTTATTTTAATGTTTATTTTACTTGCAATAGGTATACTGCAATTTTAGACAATTTAACCCATCATCTAAAGGACAAGAAAAGCATAAGATATGCTTTTTCCACATGGGATCAGAGTAGAACAAAAGAATACGAAGGGAGAAAGCTCATAGGGTATTTATACATTTCTAAACTTATTTTTAATAAATTACCACAAGTATTTCAATAACATGATGATTAATTACAGGTTCTCCATGGAACAAATATTTGATGTTGTGTCCGATGTAGCTAGTTATAAAAATTTCTTGCCATTTTGTAAAAAGTCTGATGTGATCTTAAAACAACCAGAGTTTTTGAAAGCCAACTTAGTCATAGGTTTTCCACCACTCAAAGAGAGCTATGTGTCAAATGTGACCATGTTATATCCTCAGTTAGTAAAGGCCGAATGTACAGATGGAAAACTTTTTAATCACCTCAATACTCTTTGGATTTTCACACCTGGTTTAAAAAATAATCCTCAATCCTGTGTGATTGATTTCTCGTTGTCGTTTGAATTCAAATCATGGATTCATTCTCACTTATCTAATTTAGTTTTTAATGAAATTGTACGACAAATGGAAAATGCTTTTATTGAAGAAGCTCACAGACGATATGGCAAGCCAAGTATCAAAACTGTTAGATTGGAATGACGATATACATGCATATAAATTTTTATTGTAAGAGAATCTTTTAGCTAATTTTTGACAATGTTGAATTTTTATTTTTGTGATGTACATTTATGCAACAATAATTTTTATAAAAGTGTTATTTTACAGATGTTTTCAACCTTGTTAACAATGTGAAAAACTTTATGTTATTAAAAAAACTAACTTGTGAAATAAAAAAAACTTGTACATAATGCAAATGAAAAAATGTTTTTTTTAATTACCAGCAAACATATTAAACAAAATCAGTTCAAGTGTCAAGAGAATTTAAAAATCTTTACATTAAATGAAACTATTTGAATGTAAAAAAGAAGATGAAAAATTATATTACATTAACTCATCTCAAGTCGCTCGCCTCATGAATTCACACGTTTTTCGATCTTCGAGACTACGGGTTAGTCACATGGCAGCCATACAACTGATGTTCCACTTTTTGGTGCTGTATATCCTAAACAGATTAAAATTGAAAAGACAAATTAGACGACAATTGCACAGAATTGAATCAAGTGTACCAAAAATAACGTCGAGGATCAATGGATGCTCTTGAGCGAACCTTTGTCGCGAGATCTCTTGTAAGTCGCCACGATGGTGCGGGGCGATGGTAAACGACGATCCGGGTACATCTCGGCGTAGATCCTGGACGCCTCGCGCGAATTCTTGTTGGCCTTGCCGTAGCACAGCAGCATGTCCGTGTACTCCTCGAAGCTGAAGGGACGCGCGTGATCCTCTTGGGTGGGTGCCATTTTTTGATTGGCTTTGCTGGTAGATTTGGATTGCGATGACGAGCGCGGACGATCAGCCGGTTTGATGCTGTTGATTAATACAGTTTGCCGATCGAAAATATCGTACAAGGATCCGGATGGGATGTTCCCTTCATGCACTACTTTTAGAGCGGTTGATTATATTTTTTCTCTTTCCACTACATGCAACAAGCGTCAACGAAGTATGTGAGCGCGAATGACAATTGAGACTCAAAAGACGGTGCATATAAACAACTGACGATCGTGAACGAGCGCGGCTGCATGCGAAAAGATAGGGACTGGTCTTTGCAGACCACAATGTTTACAAAATCTTCCATGAACAAACTTGTGGCAGGGAACCTTACCAATGAGATGCAAAGTTTTCAATGACGTGTTATAATTAGATCTATGAAAAAAAAATTATGATACATAAAGATGGGTAAGATTTATTAAATTTCAATGATTGATTTTTATTTGCAAAACTTTATACAAATGATTAGAATTATATACTTTTTTATCTTTTTATAAAAATATTCTTTATCAATTGTGAACAAGAGAAAAGGAAGCAATTTCGAAAATATGCATCATAATGAACTCTTATCTTAAATCTTATTTTGAAATACTGATTTCAAATGATAGCTGAAACGTCTATGAAAGTAACACTTTTGAATATAAATATACAGACATTTTATTTATGAACATAACTTTTGAATAATTCTGGTTAAAACTTTTCCATATCAGCTCATAAGACTGCTCATTTACAATGGCAATCAAAAGAATAGCTAACAATTTCCATAAGTAGATCGTAATTTTTTTTTCCTAGTTCTATAAAGTCTTCTGATGTTGATATTGTTTTAATATTTTGAGCAATAACACTTTTTGCCCAAAATTTTAATAAATCCATTTTGTACAGATCTGCAAGCTCAATAATTCTGATACAATTATTACAATTTATTGACCGATACAAATAATTCTCACAAAAAATTTTCAAATCCTCCATTTGATACTTGTCAGAAGCCATTAACAAATTAATTACTATATTTTCATTAAGCTGTTCTACTTTTCTTGTATAAACAAACTGTAACATGCTCTGAACAGTTTCAGCATTAAGATCATTAATTTTCACTATATTATCTTTACTTTCTTTCATATCAATGTTAAACATTGTTGCAAATACTTGGCTGCAATTAGCTAAAATGGCTTTATGCGCATGAAATGATTGATTTCCAACTGAAAGCTGAACATCTGAAAAGTCAGAATTGTTATAAAGTGTTGAAGAAGGTAGAACTGAGAGTAAAGTACAATATTCATCGTTTTTTAGTTTAGTAACAAGCCAAAAGCGAATTTCCATTATTCCATTTTTCAAATATTTATTCAAATTTGATTTTTGTATATCAGAAATCGTTATTTCATTTAATGAAAGTGATTTTCTGTAAGTTACGCAGTTTTGGCAATTCTTGTATTGTAGATAACTTTTTTTTGAATTCACTTCATCCTCTACATCATCTTCATTTGAGCGTTGAAGAAATATTTTTAAACACGTTATATAATCATTGTTATCCCAAATCAATACCCACTTTAAAACAAAACGCCACGGTTTCTTCCGCGAACAAAGAAAGATTGGAGAAGTAATGACATCTGTTTTTTCAATAAGTTCCTTTTTTATGTGCCATTCCATGTACGAAGCACTTAGTGTTGTAACAATAACTTGATCCATAATGAAAGCGAATAATACAAAATCAACGCTAGTTTTTTTTCATTCTTGACGATGATATTTTCGCAATGTGAGTAACTGAAAAGAAAATAAAGCTTGAATAACTTCAGTTTCACCTTGCAAAATCAAAAACCTGTAAACATATGCAATACAAACTTGTTCTGGGATCGTTAATCCAAAAACATAAACTTACTAGTACACACAAAGATTTTGAGAGTCACAGCGTCACTCAGCAAACAAAAAAAGAACTGATTTCGAATCTCAAGTGTTCAACCGAAAATATATGCTGTTTGATCAGTTCGACGGGTATTACCTAGATGTATGCGTACCAACCACATCATACGTCGCAATTACGAATTATTTTTTCAATCCGTCCGTGGTTTTTATTACTGATTCTGAATATGGCAACAGTGTAGTACTTATATTTTTGCGCGCGAAGTCAAACAAAGGAAACTGAAAACGATAGGTACCATAAATATATCAATCTTAGTACAGCCATCAGTATGTCGTTGAAAAAATGAAATAAATCACATAGAAATAAATGGAATAAGTGTCTATTTAACCGATAACATAGAGGACAAGAAAAGCATGAGATATGCTTATTCAACATGGGATCAAGGTAGAATCAGAGAATACGAAGGGAAAAAGCTCATAGGGTATCTATACGTGTCTAAACTTATTTTTAATAAACTACCACAAGTATTTCAATGACATGATGATTATAATTACAGGTTCTCCGTGGAACAAATATTTGATGTTGTCTCCGATGTAGATAGTTATAAAAATTTCTTGCCATTTTGTAAAAAGTCTGATGTGATCTTAAAACAACCAGAGTGTTTGAAAGCCAACTTAGTCATAGGTTTTCCACCACTCAAAGAGAGCTACGTGTCAAATGTGACAATGTTATATCAAAACTGTTAGATTGGAATGCATATAAAAACTTTTATCTTATGAGAATCTTTTAGCTAATTTTTGACAATGTTGAATTTTTATTTTTGTGATGTACATTTATGCAATAATTTTTATAAAAGTTTTATTTACAGATGTTTTTAACTTTGTTAACAATATGAAAAACCTATATTAATGAAAAAAAAACTTGCACATAAATGTGAATTATTTAGAGAATTTTATTTTTCATTTTCTTTATTGCAAATAAAAAAATGTTTTTTTTATAAAACAAATTGGAGTTGCAGGAGTATGGAAAAGTCGTTTATTTAGATGTAACTAATATACTGAATGATTATTAGCGATTATTAGAATCATATCGTCGTCATCAGCCAACATCCTCTGCGTCAATTTTACCTCTTCAACAATTTTCGAACTTTGGCCTGTAGCCGCCAAGCAGATTCGCCACAAATCGTCGTTACTTAGATTCTCGACGATCATGTCACAGCAGAGAATCGGCAGCCGGTACCTTATCAGCTCCAAGAAAAATCCTAACGCCCAGCGCCGGAAAAATCGTCTTGTCGGTATCTGGCACAGGTGCTCGACACACGCGCCGCAATAATCTTCGCGGAGTTTCCACAATTTTTCCGAGCTCGCGAGCTCGTAGTAGTCCGTGTACGTGAGTAATCTAGCCGCCACCTCCGGTCGTGAGTAGATGAAGTCGTACAGCGACAGACTCGGATTGATCATTATTTCTCTCCCTTTTGTGTCGAATTCTTCGCCATCGTACCACTGTTCTTCGTACTCTCCCGACTGGGCAAAAAATCGTCGCTGAGCGAAAAATTTCATGATCGTCAGGACGTCGCTCGGACTCAGCGCGTATCCTTTGTTCTCGAGATGTTCGGTGATGGCCAGAGCGCCAGACGCTTGTTTCAATTCACCATCGAGCCAATCATATTTTTCCGAAGGAATCGCCGCGCCAAAGCAACTCTCATCGGGAAAAACGAAGCTAGACAAGTCGGCACCGCGATCCAAGAGTACACGGACGGTTTTTGGCAAAAGATTCGCCACGGCCAATTGCAGCGGTGTTCGGCCCTTGCTGTCCTTCGCGTCCACCTGCACCAGCCGACCTAATTCGTCGCTGATGTCGAAGAACAGCTTTACAAAGTCGTCACTGTGGTATCTCTGGCAAGTGATATGTAGTGGAGTCAGCGCCTCCGCGTTAGCCAAATTCGGATCCCCGCCTCGCCGCAGCAGTAACTCGACCATCTCCTTGCTGCTCCAGTTTAGGGCATAGTGCAGGGCTGTGTTGCCCAATTTATCCCGAGCATTGACTCGCACCGTCCGCTGCATGTCGTCGCAGACCTCGAATAGCATCTTCGCCAAGTCGATATCCTCGCTATCGTCGGCCGTCTCGTTTCTCTTGCATATGAAGTGCAGAGGCGTCAATCCGTCGACGTCGGTGGAGTTCTGATCGGCGCCTTCTCTCAGCAGCAACTCGGCCACCTCCTTGATGCGCTTGGCCCGCACGGCGTAATGCAGCGGCGTCCGGCCCAACTTGTCCCGGGCGTCGATCCTTATCGGCTTGAACCTCTCGTCGCTGTGCTCGAACAACATCCTCAACGGGATGTCGTCGCCGTAATCGGCCTTGCACGCGATGTGCAGAGGAGTCGATCCCTCGGCGTCGGCCCGATTCGGATCGACGCCGTTCTTCAGCAGCAGCTCGGCCACCTCGTCGGCCATGCGCTCGATGGCCAGATGCAGCGCCGTTCGGCCCAGCGCGTCCGCGACGTCGACCCTAATCGGCTTGTACCTCTCGTGGCCGAAATCGAACAGCATATTGGCGAACTGCACGTCACCCCACTCGGTCAGACAGACGATGTGCAGAGGGGTCAGACCCTCGGCATTGGCTCGATTCGGATCGGCGCCGTTTCTCAGCAGCAGCTCGACCTCTCGCTCGTGTTCGTGCTCGATGGCCAGATGCAGCGCCGTTCGGCCCAACTTGTCCACGGCGTCGACCTGCATCGGTTTGTATTTCTCGTGGGTGAGATCGAAGAACGTCTCCAAGAAGTCACCGTCTCCTTCCTCGTTCTGACACACGATGTGCAGCGGAGTCGATCTCTCCGCGTTGGCCAAATTCGGACTGGCCCCGCTTCTCAGCAGCAGTTCGGCCACGTCCTCGTGAGCTTCGGCCAGTGCCAAGTGCAGCGGCGAATCGCCCGTTTTCGGCACGAGCAGATTGGGATCCACCTGGCCGAGCTCGAGAAATTTCTCGACGACGTCCTCGCAGCCGGTCATGCAGGCCACGTGAAAATGCGTCAAACCGGCCTCGTCGGTGCAATTCACGTCGAACCTGTTGTAAATCTCGAATAGGCTCTCGACAACGCCGAGGCACTCGTGTCTCGCCGCGAGATGCACTGCGGTGGTTCGCCGCGACAATGGCTTGCCGTCTTGGCCAACGACGGGCTCGTCTTTGTAACCGCTCTTGGCTACGAAGTCGACGATTAGTTCTCTATCATCGCTACACCCGTAAGTGATGGAATCCGAAAGAAGAGAGTCGATCTCGTGTGGCTGAAAAATGTCCCGGAGGTTAGGAAGTTGGTCCTCCCAATCTCTGATCAAGGGGCAGAGTTGATCGAGAAATTTGCGCCGCTCGTCTCTCATCTTCCTATAGACATCTTCTCGCAAGTACTTCAATTTTTGGAAATTTTCGATTTTATAAGGCTGATCCGAGTCTTCGGAATCGTCGCTCATTTCGTCGCCTTCGTCGTTTTCGACAGGAAAATTTTCGTCGGCTTCGTCGTTGGACGCGGACATTGTTTTGTACACTTGCACAGAAACACAACACACGGTAACTTACGACTCAACAGTTTATTTTCTTCCCTTGAATCACTTGATTCGTCGGTCGATGCGATCTGATCTTTCTGTCATTAATGTTCCCACTGGTGCGTCGTGAGGTATCTGACTCACGAAATGAGGCGTGCTAATGTAACATCGTGTCGATTGACCAAGAAATTCCCGCTCGAACAGGACACGTGACAAAGGGCGAATAGAAGCGCGAAAGAGGAGCAACCCATATAATATATTCGGTCACATTGTTATTTATCAGAATTTATAGAAGTGCTAAAACAGCGAACTTCATATTGAATCATTTCAATTTATAATTGATCCAAGAACTTTTATTAAAGAGCTCGAAGTTGCGTTCGATTAAACTAGTTTATGAATTGCCAAATATGTAGCTTAATGCAATGTGGTATGTATAGGTGACGATTAATATAGAAAGACAATGAGCTTTTGTAAAATAAAGCTTTGAATTATTTTTAATTCATTTAGATTGATTTCATCCCTGATAGAAATGCAGCATTTTTACACCATTGGTGTAACGCCAATTGTCATTTGCCATTAATTGCCATTAAATGGCCATTTTTTATGAGAAAAAGCGTTACGCCCGATGGTGAAAAAATGTTGCATTTCTACCAGGGATTCTTTGAATAGAATAGTCAATCATAACAATTGAATATAAGCGAATGTTTTTTTGTTTATTATTGCATTTTATTTACTTACTGTACGACAAAACATAAATTGTTACTTTTAGCCAACTTTATAAGCAAACATTTATTCACCATGCTCCTCATAACTCTGATAATATTGTATTTTTGAATCGTTAAATAAACCCTGTGCGTTACTCGATTTTGAAAATATTAATTTTTGTTCTTGTTTTTTATGTATATTGTACGTTTTTCAAAATATACATCCAACAAAGCGCTTATGTCACTGTTATATTTGCATTCAAACCAATCACTCAATTGTTGACACCATGGCCAAATATCGCACAGATCATAATTTAACGGTATAACATTTCACTCGTAATGTGCGCTTATATGTGCTCACGAGCCATTCAAAACTCGGTCTTGTAATATTATAAATCTATTCTCTAGTCTTCCAACGAGTCGTCACACATGCGTTCGTGCGTACATGTACTGATGTGCACGAGCCGAGATTTGACAAGGATATTCATACATTTTTTTCCTGCAAAACATGATAGCCCAATATTCATTACGTTTTTGTAATTTGATATGATATATATTAACTTATGATAAAAAAATACTGTAGTCCAGATTCACGTTCAAACTATCAAATTTTTCTGTACTTTTGACTGTCGTGCACAAATACTATTGGTAACTTTTTTAACTAGTCGGTAAAAAAGAACGAAAAATTTCCAAAAAATCAAAACACCATTCGTCTCAATACGATTAAAATGAAAACGAAAGTGAAAGTATAGCGAAGTGTAGATCATACCAATGTCTACCCGCATACTCGATTTACCAAAGAAAATTGATGTAAGTATCTATTTTCTTTGGCGATACACACCAGAGGCCCCTACTACGATGGATTTACTATTGCCTCGTTCTATAGCACATGGCTCGCTGTACTTTTATTTTTTGAAAGGTGACCACATGTTTTAGAATCTATATTAGAAAGTAGATGCACATTTAGTACGTACGTTATGAAGCTAATGTGTGAGTAGCTAAGGAACCTCAAGTCTAATGGATTGTATTGAAAAAAGATCACTTTCACTTTCAGCGCGTGTTCAATTAGACTCGATATAACTCGTTGAACGTGCGGTGCGTTTAAATCGTGATCAGTACATTTCGAGAAACCGAACTGTAAGCATCAACGAAACATCAGCTCAGTCGGAGTCTCCGGAAAAAGCCAGATTACTTTCAACCACGTGTTCAATTAGATTCGATATACATCATTGTGCAGTGCGTTTAAATCGTCAGTACAATTGAAGGCGCTGAACTGCAAGCAGCAAAGATCGAGCGATTTTCGTAAAAAAAGTTAAAAACATCTTGAGTTATATAAGTGACTGTATTTGTGTGTGAGTGCGCAGTTATTTTGATATCATGGTTATGCTTAGCAAACGTGTAAAGTTGAACCAATTAAAGAGCTTAACAAAAGATATCGATTGGGAGGACGAAGAAGAGCGATCTGAGCTTCTTGATAAAATTGACTTTTTAATCAGGAATTGGGAGGGCCAACTTCCAGATCTTCGAGATGCAAACCTTGGAGCCTATGAAATAAATCATCTTCTCATGGATTCCTTAGACGCGTGGAAGGAAGACGATTACTATTATGATCAATATAAACGATTCATCGACTTTTTGATCAGGGCCGGCTACAAAGACGAGTTCGGAGTTAATGAAGTTAGCAAGGAACCGTTGAATTATTTATCAATGGTGTTCGACGCGGCTAGATTCTGGCGCTTACCCAATATCGAATTCGTAATCTGTGAGCTGTTCAAAATTTATTACGATGTTAATTTCAAAAATCATTATAACGGCTTTACGCACTTTCACGTGGCCTGTAAATTTGGCTGTTATGATGTCGTCCAAAAATTTCTCGAGCTTGGGCACGATCCGAATCTTCGCATATTAAAAGGTTATTCGGCGCTACAATTGGCCATCGTGAATAGAAAAACAGAAGTGATCAAATTGCTACTGAAAAACGGCGCCGATCCGAATTTCGGTAATTACACAGGATTGACTCCTCTGCACGTTATTTGCAGCAGAGACGATGCCGATGATGGCTTCCTGGAACAGTTCTTCAAGATGAATGACGAATTACATCTGGCATTACAAGTCAATGCTGGCGACCATGTGGGCAACACACCATTGCACGTTGCCATGAACACAGGCGCCACAAAGGCGATCGAATTTCTGCTGAGAAATGGCGCCGACCCAAATGCGCCTAACAATATGGGATATACGCCTCTGCACTGGTATTGTTGGACGCCCAATCCCAAACCAAATCGTTGCGAATGTCTACACAAGTTCTTCGATATCAGCGACGAATTAGATCGGCCGGTGCAGATCGACGCCAAGGATGTGAACGACAGGTCTCCACTGCAATGGGCCATAGTGAGTTGTTCGCCCAAAACTGTTAATTTACTCTTGAATCGTGGGGCTGATCTGTCTAGCTTCGTCTTCCCAACTGAGGCTCATTTCTACGAGAGATTTAAACGGCCGAAAAATGCATTTCCTGGTTCGCCTGGTTTTAATTCTATTCTCAACGTTCTGGCCATCGTCGAAATTCTTGAGAAAAGAGGATACCAATTGACTCAAAGCGACGCCCTGACGATCATGAACATTTACGCCGAATTCGGATTTTTCGAGAAATCTTCGGATCTTGACAAATATTCGCAAGACGATGAGAAGTTCGCGAGCAAAGCGAAAGAAATAATGATCAATCCGAGTCTGTCGCTGCACGACTTGACCAACCTACGACCCGATGAAGCGGCGAAACGACTCAAATTGGAGGACTACTTAAAGTTTGCCCGATTGGGAAAATTACGAGAGCTTCCTAAAAAGTACCAAAAGACATGTGAAATTCATTTGTACGAGAAACTATCGCGACGATTTTTCCGACGATGGGCACTGTATCCTTTCTGGGAGCAGCTGGTGCATTACCGTCTGCCTATTCTCTGCTGTGACATGCTCATCAAGAATCTGAAGAACGAAGACTTATATCATATATTCTTGGCAGCTACAAACCCAAGTGAGGAGAGACTTAAAACAAATGTAAAAAAATATACAAGACCTGCGAGGGCTAGAAAAGCCCCAAAAAGGCTACAATATCATAAAATGTAAATATTGTGAAGGTTTTTGTTTGCTTTTTTTGTGAAATTAATAAAAGTATCGAAAAAATGTATGATTTATGGTTTATATTTCCTTGTCGGCTGGAGACCAAAGCTCGTGATGGCGTTAAGAATATTTGAATTAATTTCTTATGTCTGTGGTCATTGGAACCAGATATATTTTAAAATTCGAAAATTCTGATGAACACACAATAATCTAAGAATCTGATCTATAACTATTAATTCTTATTCTACTTACAAAAACAAATATTTTCTGTGCATAAAGTTTTTTCCTATCGCATGAGATATAAATGTACAAAGCCGTGTACACATGAACGAAAAAAAAAATTTGAAAAATGATAACAATTATTTCTTTACAGTTAAATAACCGTATTTTCGTTAGAAATGTCCGCAGGACAATTTTAGTTAAACGGAAAGGTCTTGTCAGAACCTACAAGCTGGACTCAGAAGGTTTCTATGAGGCTTTCTACTAAAATAAAGAGTGAAATAGCAACTACAAGAAAAATTGATTTTTTGGATTCTTAATTTGTTGATAACAATTGGTGAATAAATGTACGAATCCTATCATAATATATATAGTTGTCAAGCGCTTGTAAAGAAATTTCCGAGCTACGACCCTTTGAAGTTTTCTTTTTTGTTGCTGGGGTACTCTTACCATACGACAATTGGAAAACTTTTATTTAGTAGTGGGTGAGAATTTTGAATGTATTCTTGATTTCACATCATGGGCATCAGATGAAGAGATTGTTTTCAATCGGTGTAACGGTGTACGTATGCGTAACTCGTGGCGCCTGGTAAAAAAATTACCAGTTGAAATGACTAAAGCTCCAAAAACGAAAAAAGTATAAAAAAAAATTTGGTAAAATAAATTAAAATGTCGACCCTTGTACCATAATTCATCCAGACACTGACAGAAAAAATAATCGTCCCTTTAAACGGCTTCAAATACTCGAACTAATTTGTTATGTTCAATGAATATCGATTTTTCTAGCTATATTTTATGGCGATATATTTTAACATAAATTCTATATTTGTTTTAAATTTCTCATTTCTCAGGCGTAGTGTCATTAATGTGTGTTAAATAAAAAATTGTAGTAGTGACAGGGAAGAGAAAGCAGTTAAAATTCTTGATTAGATCACGAGACAAACTTATTTTCCTTCTGCAAAAAAATACGCAGTATTAATTCAAAAGTTTGAATTTCGCGCAACATCTAGTGGATTTGCAATCGTATAGATTCTAGCGTCGTATAGTGACATTTGGAAGTTTAGAGACATCGTCACTCTTCGGAGCTCGGCGAAGCTGGCTTATATCGCGAGTTGACGTGCAAATTTTTGCAGCGTAGGAATAAATCGAATCGTGGAACTTCGTCGTGTGTGTACACTGACATACATGGCCACCTGTCCACATAAAGATAAACGATATCTGGCCTTTTAACCGACTGCTGTCCGTGACTCTTTCGAATTAATTCATAACAACGCTCTTCGAGCATTAAACTTCGTAATTAGTGAAAATTGCGCCACTGCGCTTTTTTTTCTCTTTAAAAAGTAAAAGCCTAGAAAAACGTTCCCGAGATATGGCGTGACGACAGAGAGCAGACGCTCCCGCTGCTGCTGCTGCTGCTGTTGCTACTGCTGTGTCTGTAGTGCTGTCGCTGCTCGTCACCTCCTGCAGATGTCTGGCAGCTACTAACTCGTATGCATGAGAGAATACCTTTGACACTGGGCCGTTGTCACCAAAGAACAACAATGTTTCGCTCCAACTGTCCCAGCGGGGGCCTCTTCGTCGTCGAGGGCGAGCTGGGCCTCCTCATGACGGCTATGAGACGTGGTGTCAGATGGTCGTCGCATTCGCATCAGGTTAGGTTTTCCGTCGCAGCAATCTGTGCGATGCGCGCTTTTCTGTTTCGTAACTCGTTCCGCTGAATTTTCCGCCGAAAATGCTCGAGACGATGCTTGACTTTTCATTGAAATACAATTCCACTGAGAGTCACTCGATGCGATCGCGCGAGATTTTCGCACGAGCGAGCTCGACCGCGCTACAACGAGTTGTCGAATTTTTAACAGCTGCTTGCAATTGCTATAAATGTTGATCTTTTGTCCAATACATTTTCATTCAATTTCTCACTCGTTCTGGCAAAATTATATCTTTGGCTCTATGTCATGACATTAATTTATGCAATTTTTACTGTCACTGTAGGATGAAGATCAGGATATTCTGATGAAGAATCTGGCAGGCTTGAAAGAAACTTTAAACGATGCTAAAGATTTATCTCAATTAGAACCATCTGCTTTCATGGCACCTTTTTTAGAAATTATTCGGTCTGAAGAAACGACAGGACCTGTCACTAGTCTTGCTTTGTCTGCTGTAAATAAAATTATTTCTTATGGTCTTATCGGTATGTATTCATCTACAGAATATTTATTGTCTTTGATTAGTATTAGACACTGTGATGATTATAAAATTATTTATTAAATTAGATCCAGAACACCCTGCTGTTGTTCCATGTGTTGAAGCAATAGCAGATACAGTGACACATGCAAGGTTTGTAGGAACTGATGCTTCTGGAGACGGAGTAGTTCTCATGAGAATACTTCAGGTCCTGAGGGCTCTAGTTTTATCACAACCTGGAGATAATTTATCCAACGAGAGCATATGTGAAATAATGCTCAGTTGTTTTAGAATTTGTTTAGAAACTCGTCTTAGTGGTAAGTATAATTATTTTCGTTCTAACAACTTTGTAAACATTTTTACACCACTTTTCTTATGAAACATTATTATTTTAGAATTACTAAGAAGGACAGCAGAACATTGTTTACGAGATATGGTTTATCATTTGTTTGTGAGACTTTCTCAATTTGCGGATGATACCAGAGGACTTCTTAGCATGAGGGTAAACCACTCAAATAATCAAATTATTTTTATTTTTTATCATGGATTAATAATCTTTTTATTATTTTAGAAAATGAGAACAAACAGTATGGAAACTACAAAAAGTAAACCTAAGAAAAATAAAATTAGTGCAAAACCAAAGTCCAAATTAAATCTTGATGATATGGATGACGCAGAAGCTCAGCTTCTAAGTCCAGTTGAAAAGGTTGAAAAAGTCAAAGTCAATCATTTAGCTACTACACCTATTTCACCTGCTGGCAACATAGTTGATATGCAAGGTTCATTAAATCATGGAACATCGGATAAATCTGATGATGGTAAAGGTGATTCTAAAACTAGTGCATTAAAAAATATTAATGGCAAGGAAATTTCTGAATCAAATACTGTAATAAATGATCCTGAAAAGAAGATTTCTAAGAATGAAAATTTGGAAAATGGTCAAGAGATTGAAAGTTTAAATAATGATAATAAATTATCTGAAGAGCAAGTGGATAATAAAGTTGGACAAGTTTCAAATCTTGAAAATAATCAAGGTATATACATTTTTTTGCTATTCTTTACATAAGAAAATTATATTAAGACCAGTTTTATTAATTTTTTTAATTACAACTATTAACATTCAGGAAACGCTGAGAACAAATGCAATGATGTTCAATCACCAAGTGGCAGCATTGAAGATCTATCTGTTGATGATGGTATGAATATCAATAACACTAAATTGCCAAATAATAAACCTGATGGTGAATCTGTTGAGGAATATGTAAATTCACAAGGAATCAGATTTACTACAGTTCAGCAGCATACTCCCTACGGTTCTCTGTGCATCAGGGAGCTATTCAGATTTTTAGTATCTTTATGCAGTCCTCATGACAAGCAAAACACTGAAGTCATGATACATTTAGGATTAAGTCTACTGCAAGTAGTTCTGGAAGTAGCTGCAGATTCTTTGGCTAATTTTCCTTCATTACTTGCTCTTGCCAAGGATGAATTGGCTCGGAATTTAATAGTAGTATGTTATGTTAATACTATATTTCAAAATTAAATGAAAATTAATTTATAAAAATTTCCATTACTGTTGATTTTCATGTTTGAAATTGCTATGATTTTTTTCTAGTTACTGGGCACAGACAGATTGTCAATTTTAGCTGCAGATGTACAGGTGTCATTTTTACTTTTTGAATCTCAGCGTGAACATCTTAAATTTCAATTGGAACAGTTTATTGTAAAGTTGATGGATATAATTAATTCTGATTCAAATCGAATTACTTACGAACAAAGAGAACTTGCTTTGGGTAAGTAGTAATGATATTTAATTAATTTATTTTCGTACTTTTTTATTTCTTTTTAATACCAATTTTATGAATGACACATGTAGAAGCTATACTACGTTTGTGGAAGATACCTGGTTTACCAGCAGAACTTTTTGTAAATTATGACTGCGGCTTATTTTGTATAAATTTGTATGAAGAACTAATGAAAATGCTATCAAAGGTACTGTTCAATGTAAGATCATTTTCTCTCTACTAACATGCAATAACTTGAGTGCGTAAATAGAAACTTATTCACATTTGTTTTTAGAATGTTTCGACAATGGCTAGTAGTATGTATAGTTTACAATTTATTGCTTTGGATGCAATATTTACTTTAATTGCTGGTATGGAAGGAAGGTGCAAAGGAAATACAGAAATGTTAAAAACCTCTCGACAAACCGCTTTGCCTAATCTACCAGCCAAAGATGTTTTATTAGATACGAAAACAAAGAAAAGAGTAAGATTACGTTCCATTTTTTACTTAATTTAATATTTAGAAGGTTCTAATGAGGTATATAATTTTAAGTTGCTAGCGATTGGGGCTGAAAAATTCAACGAAAGTCCCCGCGAAGGTATTGCAAAATTGACCGAATATGGCCTACTCGGAGGAACGCCGGGTCATCCCGATCCTAATGAAATTGCAAAATTTTTAAGAGAAAATCCAACGTTAGATAAGAAGCAAATTGGAGAGTACATTAGTAAAAAGGAGAACGGCAATGTATTGCAAGCGTTTGTAAATAGTTTCAATTGGTCCAATACCCGTTTAGATGTAGCCGTACGTCAATACTTGGAGACTTTTAGGCTGCCTGGAGAAGCCCCTTTAATCTTCCTTCTACTCGAAAAATTTGCCGAGCATTGGCATGTAAGTCTCTAAAATTTAAAGTTGTTGAACGAATGAAAAGTGAAACGATTATAATCGAAAATAAAATTTTTCAGGAAAGTAATAACCATCCTTTTGCCTCAACGGATGCTGCTTTTACTTTGGCATATGCTATCATCATGTTAAATGTAGATCAGCATAATAACAACGTCAAACGACAAAATAATCCAATGACAGCAGAGGACTTTAAGAAAAATTTGAAATCGACCAACGGTGACGCCGATTTCGATCAAGAAATGCTCGATGAAATTTACACTGCTATAAAGTATGTATATATTTTTTGGCTTATAAATTTTGAATCATCTTAATTATAAATCGTTATAACGAATTATTTTCTTTATCAAACAGGACTGATGAAATAGTTATGCCGGCAGAACAAACAGGCCTCGTCAAAGAAAACTACTTATGGAAATGCCTCTTGCGAAGAGGTGCCAATCCAGAAAGTCTGTACATAAGGGTCGGCGATGCTAGTGATTTTATCGACAAGGAACTTGCAGAGAAAGCTTGGGCCCCGATTATTAGTGCTCTATGCAGAGCGTACGATAAAGCTCCAGATCGTAATTTTCAACGAAAAGTGGCTACGGCATTTTTCAGGTAATTCATTGAAATTCGTTACTAGCTCATTTTATGGCTTCGGTTAAAATTGTCCTTTACTTTTCAGTTGTGCCGCTATCAGTGCTCATTATGGTATGACGAGCGATTTGGACACTCTCATAGTAAGCCTATGCAAGTTTACCGGACTAGCGGCCGTTGGCCAGCCAGACCAAATCGTTTTGAAATTAGGTGGCAGTGGCTCGTGCCAGTTGGCCACTCGAACTCTCTTCAAAATCACGCACCTGCACGGCGACGCTCTGCGAGCTTCTTGGAAAAATATCGTCGACTGTTTGCAAATTTTGTACAAAGCCAAACTTCTTCCCAAAAGTCTGACGCACGGCGCGGACTTTCTCGATCCTTCCGGTAAAGTAAGTCTCATCGTCGAGTCGGCTCCAAAACCGGCCCCTGTTGAACAGGGCATATTATCAAGTCTGTATTCGTACATCGCCTCGGATACGTCGAGAACGCCTCATCCCGCTGAAGCCGTGGCTAAAAAGAGAGCAAACGATTGCATTGCCCACTGTTATCTCAAAGAGATAATCGAAGAAAGCAAGTTACTGCAGGTAAACTATCGCGCATTGAGATTTATAGTTTGAAACTGAAAATATGAATACTAAAAGCATTTGCCGTCCTCTACAGCTGGATTCATTGCAATCCTTAGTGACAGCATTGATGAGTGCCAATCCCGCTGACGAGGGTACATCAGTATTTTTGTTAGAACAATTGATCGAATTAACCATAGAAAACTGCGATCGAGCCTCGATCATTTACCCGATGATTCAGCCTCATTTGGAATCGCTCGTTACCGCTTCAGCTCGGGAAAATCAACCGCACCTCCTGGAGCGTGCGACGGTCGGTATGCTGCGACTCGGCACGAAACTTCTTCTCGCCGAAGATTTCGCCCGAATTTTACTGCAGCCATTAGCACCTCTGACGCACTTGCCATCGGCTTCGGTTTCTCCCCTGGCAAGACAGATATCGTATGGTTTATTCGAGCTCCTGAAGATCGGCGCTGCAAACATACACAGTACAGAGGACTGGAAAGTAGTTTTCAACCTGTTGGAATGCGCTGGAGCTGGTGCTCTTCAACCGAAACAGTCATCCAACAATCCCCAGGATGAAAATAGTTCCAGCAGATCAACAGTATGCTTACTATTATATTCATAATGTATAATTGAAAATGTTCACATTAACAACGAGCGTCTTTTCAGGCCGCACCTCTGGATCCTCGGCCCGTGAGCCCGGTACCCGAGTGGGTTCTCGTCTCTCCGACTGGTACGGGCACGGAAGCGCCTCTGCCCGTAGCCGCCGACATCATCGTGCTGGATCGCAAGCTGCAAGCTCACGATCCGCTGGCCCTGATAAAGTGCTGCGAGAGCCTCAGTTTTCTCGTGCGCGACGTCGCCCACGTGACCCCGTTCAACTTCGAGCTGTGCGTGCGCTGCGTGCGTACGTTCGCCGAGGCCGTGCTCAATTCCGCCGGCAAGCGCGGACGGGTGCATCTGCCCGCGGGCGAAGAGCTGCCGCAAACATATCAACAGACTCCCATTCAATTGCTTGATTTAATGCACACGTTGCACACCAAAACTGCTCAGGTATGTTAACTTCGTCGTTGAACAGTTTCTGTCCTTTTTTTGTGCGATCAACTTCAATCATGATACGCGTGTATTATTCAGGTGTTCCGATGGTGGGCCGAGGAGGGCAACGAGGAGCAGAAAAAGCAGATATCCACGAGCTCGCTGTGGTCGCAAGCTTGGCGCCCGCTGCTTCAGGGTATCGCGAGACTTTGCTGCGACTCGAGGCGTCCCGTGCGAGCGGCTGCCATAACGTCGCTGCAAAGTACCTTGTTAGCTCATGATTTTAGCCAATTGTCCGCGGTCGAGTGGTCGCAATGCCTCGAGCAAGTGTTGTTCCCGCTGCTGGCTCAGCTACTCGGGCCTGTCGCGCCAAGCGATCCTCTCGGTCTCGAGGAGACGAGGGTCAGAGCTGCTATGCTATTATCCAAGGTAAGCCCATTCCGCTATGCTCTGCAAACTCTTTAATTCGTCTCGAATAATCGAACAAAATATTCGCAATTCACAGGTCTTCCTGCACCATTTGAATCCACTGTTGACGCTGCCAGGCTTCTTGCCGCTGTGGCTAACGGTGCTGGACTTGCTGCGCTCGTACATGCACGCCGACAACAGTGAAAATCTTTACGAAGCGATTCCCGAATCATTGAAGAACATGCTGTTGGTAATGGCTTCGGCCGGAGTGCTTCAGCCCGAGTCGTACCTGTGGACGCCAACATGGCGAGCTATCGATGCTTTTCTGCCTAATCTGAAGGGCGAGCTGTTCCCCGAACCGCCGCCTCAACCTGCGCCGAAACCAGCAGTGGCCCAGTCACCTCCGCAATCGCCGACGCCTACTCAACAAACTCCTGTTGCTGCTACCCCTGCTGGTGCTGCTGCTCAGGCTCAGGCTCAGGCTCAAGCTCAGGCTCAAACTCAGAATCATTCTTGTTCAATACAGATGGACGCCAGTTCGTACGACGTATATCCGACTATCGTGCCGTCGCCCTCGATGCCGATTCCAACTCAAGTGCAAGAGTCCACCATGCCGATTATAACCCCGATACCGTCTTCGATGCCAGTTATAAATGCTTCGTACGAGGCGTACTCGACATCGCCGACCGGGCTCAATCATATGCCGTCATTCTCGATGCCGATTCTGACGCAGATGCCAACTTCTCCGTTGCCGAGTCCACCTCAAATACCCTCGTCCTCGATACCAAGTCCGAGTCAGATGACGTCGTCGCCGCCTCCGTCGGCACAAGTTCCATTGCAATCCTACTCGATTCCAATTATCACGCCGTACGAGATATCACCGCCAGCCGCTCAATTTCAAATATCGTCGCCCATACCGATACAGAATCAGATATCATCCCCGATATCAAACCCGACGCAATTGCCACCCTTGATACAGAGTCAAAATCAAATTCCGACGTCCTCGATACCTAGTCATACGCAATTACCAGCCTCCTCTGTACAAAGCCAATCTCAATTAACATCCACGATGCCCGCTATGGCTAGCTCGTACTTTGTGTGAGCTACTTAACTTTTTTGAGTATAAACTTTATAACGTGAAATTTATGTAATCAACGCGAATCGTTGCTAATCATGTTTCAATCAATTCTTTATCAATTCTTGATTTATAATTCAACTATTAAAAATCTTTTTATTGCATATAAGAACTATTACCAATTATGACGAAATAAATTCAAAAATAGTATGAGGAAATGTTAACAATCAATACAGTAAACAATTAACAAACAATTAACTTTTAAATTATACTAAAATTATTGCAAGACTTGGTAAATTCATATGAAATGACGTAGGGTAAAAAAGGATATGTGTGAGAATTCAAAACAACAGTTCCGACTGATTATTGAATTAAGAGCGCTTCAATTTTATACTTTATTACAGTCAAACTTGTTGATACATTATTTACGTTTAACGGTACAATGTAACTGATTATAATCAACAATTAGTTATTCATTGTTATTTAGATATGTTATTCTCAAATACTGCTTTATCAAAAAAAATATTTTTAAAAATTACTATAAAACTAATTAGTTCTATTATTAAAAAAAAAAAAAAACAGAAATGAATCTGTAAAATTTATAAATTTTAAAAAATCATTCCAATTAACTAAATTTATGAGATCTGTTAAAATCTTAATTCTTTGGATTTTTTGTGGGGGTGATTAATTTTTTCAAATTTCTTATGAATTGTTATGTTTATGAGACCAAATAACTTCAAGACAGTTGACTTATGTGACTCTTACAATTTATCAATGATTTGTAAGCTTCAAGAAAAAAAAATGGTGTAATTATTCAAGTTGTGTATATTAAATGAGCAGAGAAATATTGATTCTTTCAATTTTGATAAACAGTTTCAACTTTCTCTGCTGAAAGTATGAGTTTTTATAAGGGAAAGAGATTCGTCAAGAATCTGCGACCTTTTCGTATTATTTTTTATCAGATATTTTTAATTTACTGTTGTTATGTATTAATGAATATCTATTATAATATAAAAATAATTTATGAGTACCGTTGCTGTACGTTTTAATGAAAAAAAAGTGTATATATATACATATTAATGTAGTCACGAATAACCACATAAAATTATTTTACTATGTATAAGAGGTGTTGCATTTTACTTGAATTAGTTGTCAATAAAATTTTACATAGTTAAATGATTAAAAAAAAATATTGCGTATACTTTTGATTTTAAATCCTTTTCCGACATACTCGCAAACGTTTATTCAACGTTGTTTAGTAAACGTTGTTTAGCATTGTTGTTAAATATGTTTAGAAGAAATTCGGAAACGATCGCGTTTCTACACGAAACAGTCAATTGTGTTTTTATTTTTCTCTATTCGAAGTTGACAATCGAATTGACATTTGAAATGGTACGTTCAAGTTCATGATATTTGACGATCAGATTGAAATCAAAACATCGAGTCTCTTTCGTGTAACCGACGAATTGAGAAAATGAAAAACGGACAAGACCCCGGCGACTTATGCATTATTTCCGACTTATTTCTGACACGCACGCTCGCCTCGATTATAATAAGAGGCACGAGTAATTCGCATAATGTCACTTTAATGAGAAAAACAAAGCGAGAAAAGAGCTCGACAAAGTCTCGAACGATGAAGTTCCTTCCCGAAATATCTCGAATGTCGCTCGTGTATATAAATAAAGTCGTTGAAGGCAGTTTTGCAATTTTCGCGCGCTGCTCGGTCAACGCTCCATTATCTCGTGTGTACAATATATACAGATATATATAATGCACGAATGCAATGCGCCGATGCGCGAATGTTCACGTAGCTTCTGGCACAAGCCGCGCACCACCTGCACACACACCGTCTACCCCGTGCCTGTATGAGCAAGCTCGAGAATCAGCTCGAAGGGTGTAGAGCACCGCTTGATATGACCTACTATTGCGCTCGACCCTCCTAGAAAAATCTCGGGTCTTTAAATTCCCACGGATGTTTGCTAACGTACTTTTCTTTCTTTTTTTTCTGCAGCAATTACCGGACATGATTGAATATGTACGTTTTAATTGAAAACGTACACACGAATTAAAAATATTAGATTACGACCGTTGCGAGGACACTTGTTATTTTATTTGATTATGAAACTATAACTACTTCTCGACTACGACGTATTAGAATCTCTCGTCGACAATGAGAGAAAATAAAAAACGTTTAGATTACGAAATGTTTGATATATACTAACTGGATAATCAAAGTTGTTGTCCGTTGTTGATCGCATCGATTGATTATCAATTAATACGATGAAATTACTAAAAACCCGAGAAAACTCTTCATCTCGTTATGAAAAAATACCGTCTTTATTAAGATGGCGGAAACTAGATCGAACAAATCAGATTTTTCGGTTTCACGTCTCAAAGTTAGAATGAGATTTTCATCGAAATTTGTTTCATTGTTATATGGTAAATAGCCATAAAAAACGTCATTTTTCTTGTTGAAGTTGTAAAACAATCACTCGTAATTAACACGCGATAAGCACGCAATAATTATTTAATAAATTGCACATAATTTTACACGTTATTGCTTGCTAAAAGTCCGTTTGAGCGGGTCGGCCCAAACGGCTCGTCGAGTCGTAGGTAAACAAAGCATGGCGCGCGGCGACCCGTCAAAATTGCGACGTTCACGAATTTCGTTGCGCAGATGCACAGATATCTTGTGATAATCTCGAAAATTTCAACGCGATACCGTCGAACGTTAACTTTTCAGCGAAATCACGCATTTTTTTATAAAAATCTCTATCAACAAATGCGAATTTTCAGCCGTGGAAATTGCGAGAGCTTCTCGAGGATTCGAGCGGCTGCTAGCGCCGACGTTTCTCGAACGGCCGGCCGGTGCGCTGGTATAAATACGGCCGCGCTCGTCTGCTCGAGTCAGTTGAACACAAGCATTCGAAGCGAAAGCATCTACTACTTAGCACTACCGTGCAAAAACCTCTAATCTTTACCTCTCTCGTTTGAGAAGTATACATCGATTTCACGATCTATTGAATTTTTTGTCAAAGGTGAGTATACAAATTTATTTCAAACTACCAACTTCATCTCAGTGCCATTTTTCAATTTTTCTCATGACTCTTTTGTAATATTCGAGACATTTCAAACTTACCGATTAACGATTGCTCTGAAGTTCTCATTCACCATTATAAATTCGCTAACTAATGAATTGTTTCAAATTTTTTGTTACAGACAAACAGAAATCATGTCTCTAGTACCACTTCTATTCTCTGACTGGTGGCAAGACTTGGAGCGCCCACACCGCATCCTTGACCAGGACTTCGGTCTAGGTCTGCGCCCCGAACAGCTTTTGGCCCCGAGCGTCTTGGAAAGTTACATCGTTCCTCGTGAGAGAAGACGCAGCCCGTTGACCATGATGTACTACAGACCCTGGAGCGAGCTCATGCGTCAAGGAGAAGGCGGTGGCACTTCCACAGTCAAAGCCGACAAGGACAAGTTCCAGGTCGTTTTGGACGTACAGCAGTTCAAGCCCGAGGAGATCAACGTCAAAGTCGTCGACAAGTTTGTCGTCGTCGAAGGTAATTATTCAACTCGTTTTTTATTTTTACTTTTCCAATTCTCTTTGCTTAAGACAAGTAACTATGAAATTTAAATATTAGAATTTTTTAATTTATTCTATTGACAAATCTACATAGAGAAATCTGTTGGATTTAGATCTGAAAATTTGAGTTAATTTTTGTTGACAAATCTATTTAAATTCTCTTGAAATTAAACATTTTTAAATTCTCTATTTATACCAAATTATTTTAAACTATACAATGTGTCTGATAACCAATGTGCTCAATTGTTTACAGGCAAACACGAGGAAAAACAAGACGAGCACGGCTCCATTTCTCGCCACTTCGTACGCAAATACCTTATACCAGAACAATGTGATGTGGACCAAGTCAGTTCTAGTCTCTCTTCTGATGGTGTCCTCAGCATCACAGCCCCACGCAAAGAGCAACCAAAGACCAACAACGAAAAAGTAGTCAAAATTGAACACACTGGTAAACCAGCTATTCGTGAGAACAGTGAGGAGAAGAAGCCTGTAGAGAAGAAAAAAGAGGAAACAGCTGAAAAGAAAAAATAAGTGTAGTTTGCATTTTCTGACGCTAAGATTAAGGACTTTGATTTAAGTTTTCATGTAATAATATTAATGTTAGTTTCATCGTTCACGACATAAGATATAAATTCAATTTGTACCAGTGTTTACGAAGCTTGTAATTGTTCCTAAGTAAAAGTAAAAGTCATTATAAAATCAAGATTTTTATAATAAAATGAAACTCGTTGACTAAATAAAACATCTTTTCATTTTCATACCCTCTCTTAGTAGTTCTAAACTTAAAATCATACAAATTTACTTAAAGATTTTGATTAATAACAGTTCTTGAAATTTTTTTTTAAATTTATTATCTTACTTTTCTTATCAAGTCAAAATAAAAAAAATTCACTTGAATATTTTGATTAATAACAGTTCTCGAAATTTATTTAAATTTGTAATATTATCTTAATTTTACATAATTACAAAGTATTATTTCAAAAATTATTTACAGTATTTGAAATTATCTTAAACAATATTTGTCACAGAAATACATTGAGTCTTAATAATATCAACTGTCCTTGAGGACTTCTTTCAAAATTGACCCTGTATTCCTTGCTGGGACAAATTCTGGGAATGTAGGCAAATTAATATTTGACAATAACAATGTAGACTGAGTCGATGATGATGAGTGTTGTCTACTGTGACCTGGTCTGTCTAACGGCTGAAATTAAATATAAAATTAATGAAAATTACAAAATCAATGCCTTCAAGTTCATTAGTATTTCTTTGATTGCTTACCGAAGTTGAAATGGGCAAAACTGGCATCTCTGGTTTAGGCTTCGATTCGTTCTCCAAAAATTGAATGAACGCACTAGACAGTGAAGACTCTTGTTCCTAAAATGTACAAAAAAAGAAAAGAATTTACAATATTTCATCTCGTTTGCCTAGTCGATTACAAAAAAACCCTATCTATCGTGTGAACTGACCTTGGTTGGTGCAGCACCACTGTTGATCATGGAAGAGAACCAGCTATTTTTGGAAGACGCGCTATTGAGCCCGGACTTCTCTCTCTCGGCCTCGTTGAAGTCAAGCACGTTGGCGAAGACCCGCAGAACCGACACTTTGTCGTTGGCGGGCGACGAGATGTAACCCATCAACAAGTTCTTGACGAGCGACCTTGAAAAATTCGATCATTGCTCATTACTTTAGATGTTTTTTGAACGATTTACATTAGAGTAGAAAAATACTTGGAATTTATCATACCGATCGACTTTTCCCTCGCAGCTTCTCTGCGCCTCTTGGATTCTCTCGTCCGCCGTCTGGACCAACTCGTTGAGTCTGCTCACTGCAAATGAAAATTGCCTCGGTTAACTTTTCTTTAGATCGCTTGGCATGTATTTGAATTATAATCGTAAATGACGAGAGTTTTAATATGAATAAAATTACAAGATTACAGTAGTTACAATTTTGCTTACAATAATTACAAGTATTAATTCTTTAACCGATACAGTTTCATAATAAATTACAGCTATCAGATGTTAAACTTAAAACAAATTCCATCTAAACAAAGTCACTAAGATTTATAGATTTTACAACGGCATATCCATAACAGCTAATCTATAACTAACATGAGTCAAGGTGAGGTATTGTATCGATAAAAACCAAATTATATTATTGCGTACAAAGATGCAGATGGACGATTCCAAATGATTTTTTTTTTGCTTTCAATCAGCGCAGATATTTATGGGATAACAGGAGGCATTTGAAGAGACGAACGCAAGTATGACACAAGTACTGGTCGATGAAAAAGTTTAACACCAGTACCTGATGTAATACTCACACCCTTCCCCTGTTAATGTTTTTTTTTTGCAATTAGGACACATGCTGCATTCCTTAATGTATGAATTACTTAGTTTACATGCCATAATTTTTAGGAATCTCAATTTTCTAAATTTTCGTTACAAAGTTACCCGGAATAAATTTTTTTTTTGTTTCGTTATTTGTTTGAGTCTACGTTCCCCGTTTTTGAAATTGTTTGAAAGTACAGCATAAATGAATCGTAATTTGTGATAATTTCAAAAAAATAATATTATGCTTTTCTTACAAGGCACACTGCAACTTTACCTTCTAAAAACCGTTTCACAGTATACTCGAATCTACAGGTGGTATAAATTATAAATTAAATACATGCTATAATATAAATATATGATCAAAAACTAGTTACAATTTTATATTAATTAAAATTAAACTCGATAAAGAATCATGCATACAAATCCAATGGTATTACTTTACAATTACAGATTACTTCTAAAATAAAAACTACTCAGAAATTACAAATCCTTCTATCTAAGTATAATTAAATGATAAGAAATTGCGACCAACGGCAATTTGTACTGTTAATCATCTATTAAAAAAAAATTAAACTAAAAATCCGCAGAATAGCGGTAGCGAGTGGGAAACCCCACGAGGTAATATGAGCTTGGACTTAATATACGCTCACAGTTACCGCATGAGATTACCTGCTCAAGCACTACCATAATCAAAAGTTTTTTTAGTCCTAATAAGGTGTGGCAATTCATGATTTCGCTCAGCATTTTACATGTATATATGCATTTGTATATTTATATCCATTACATCAACAAAAAAATCAACCAAATTTTCGTCTGCAGCCAATGATAATTATTTTTCTCTTTATTTTTTTTTTTGGTCCTCCTTTTTCTAATGCAGTATATAATTTTTGAAAAATTATTATGTTATTATTTTGTAATGTGCATGGAAAAAAAATTTGTTTGCTTGTTTTTCTTCAACCAATCAAAGCTTATGTGATTTGAAATGAAAAAATTCCACGATAAATTTTGGAAATTGCGCATCGTGCGATCACTCGTAATTGTTACGCTTTTACTTCACCATTTAGTTTTACAAAAATCGTGTGTAAGTGTGCGTGCGAGTGAGCAGCAGTACATAGTTATCTGACAAATTAATACAATAACCAATCCAAAAGTTCATAAGGTGACAAAAAAAAATTAAAATACATGATCATTACCGAGAATGATTGAAGGAGAACCAACACCGTCGGATACATTAAAATGTGTGATATGCTTCGTGAATTATTGCTCTATTCGCTTTCGAATGCAGCGTAACAATGTAGATAAAATTACATTAAAAATTGCTCGGTACAACTCTTTCGTTCGATTTTTTTTGTCACTTAATTCAGTGCGCGACGTGCGTAAATTATGGCTTGGGTTACGATACTAATAATAATTAAAAAAAAAATAACAAAAGGCGGATTATAATGCGAGGCTAGGCGACGTGAGCCAGTGCGTAGCTTAATACCAACCGGAATGCTGGGCTAATTGTCGGACAAAACCATCACCAGTATTACCAGCTGATATTTGACTACGCGACCGAACTACAACAGCAGTATTGTTTGTTTTTTTTTTTTTTTCGTGAATTTGCGTGCTTGGCGATGGTGGAAGTGGTAGATGTGTCGTTTATTTGGTTTTATTTCGTGCTAGCGCTCCGCTCGAATTTTCATTTTTTTTCTGTTCGTTCTGCTCTATATGCAATTGTTACAATTGCTTGGGTGCTTTCTCGTGGATAGTTAATTTGCCCTTGGCACAGTTTCAGATTTGCGATTAGTCACATTTTGTGGGTACGTAAATTTTGAGTGAGGTAAAAAAAATCGAGTGAGTTTTGTGGAAAAATAGTAAATTCATAAGCTGCGCCTCGTTTGGCTCGTGGCGAATTTTTAGAACACACAACACATATATACATATAAAATATGGATTGCGAGCGAGTCAAGTTTAACAAAGAACAATACGAATTACAAAAGAAGCCAAGATGAAAGCAGTACACTTATGTATCGTTAAATCAAGCGTTAAAACACAAAAAGAAAGATGGCAAGTGATAGTAACAAAGCACCAAATTTAAGACATAGTTTTACGTGTTAAGAAAGAAAAAGAAAAGGAAGATGAAGAAATCGGTAACAAACGAAGGTTGTTTCGTACCTTCTTGATTGAGCTGCTCGATGCGCTCTGATTTTTTGTCCAGCTGATCGCTGAGTCGCGACGCAGCGAGCAAGCACTCCCTGGCGTCGTTCAGTTGCTCCTGCAAAAAGGATAAAAAATTAAGGAAATGACGCGATTCGAAGTCGATATATTTAATGTATACACAATATGTATATATGTTCACGATTAAAAATCGTGCGAATAAAATTATGGAAAACACAAACTTTCAAATGAGCGATTTCCTTGTTCAAGGCGTCCTGTTTGTTGAAGGATTCCTGCAGTTCGACGCGCACCTTCTCCGTGGCCGCGTGTATGTCCTTTTCTCGTTCTGTGAAATTCCAGAAAAAAAAAAAAACATTCATACCCAATAAAGACGCACGAGGGAAATAATTGCAATAACGAGAGACAAGACGTTACCGCGTTGGAACTGCTCGAGCACCAGCTGCAAATTGGTGAGCGAGGCCGTGTACGAGGCCACCTTGTCCTCGGCCGCCGAGATCTTGTTCTGCAGATCGTCCCTCTGCTGGGCCATGAGGGCGAGCTGCTGCTGCAGCGTCTCGACCTGCTGCTGGGCCCTGATGCTCGCGGACGTGTACATGGTCGAGCTGTTCTTCAGCTGCTCCTCGGCCAGGGCCAGACGCGCCTCCAGGCCGCGCTGTATCTCCTCGGTCTGGAGCTGCTCCTCGGTGCGGCCGGCCTCGATCTCCATCAGATGATCGCGCAGCCGGTCGCGCTCCTTGCAGGCGAGGCTCTCCTTGTCCTGGGCCTCGGCCAACTGCTGGCGCAGAAAGCCGATCTCCGTGGCGGCCGCCTGGGCGCTCCTCTCCAGGCCGGCGCGGGCCTCGCGCGTCGCCTCGAGCTCGCGCTCCAGCAGAGTGTGCTCGGCCAAGCCGCAGCGCTCCAGGGCGCTGCCGCTGGCGTCCTCGACGTTGCTGAGACGCTGCTTGAGCACCTGCAGCTCGTTGCGCAGCCACAAGGCGTCCTGCTCCTTGGCGGCGAGCTCCTGCGCCAGCGAGTCCCTCTCCGCCACGGACTTTTGCAGATTGGCGGTCTGGTCGGCGAGCAGCTGGGTGAGGCGCTGCACCTCCGCGTGATACTGCAGGCTCTCGGCGTGCTTGTCCTGGACGAGGCGCACGAGCTCGTCGCGCTCCGAGCGCAGCGCGTCGAAGCTCGCGTTCAGCTTGATGAGCTCGCTGTCCTTGGCGCTGATCAGTTGGGACAGATTGTTCATGGTCTCGCGGGCCATCTGCGCGGCGTCCCGGTCGCGGGCCAGGCTCGACTTCAGCGACTCGATCTCCTTCAGCAGCTTCTGTCGTTCCTCCTCGTCGATGCCCCCACTGGCGGCAGTCGCGTTGCTCGGCTGCTTCTCGTTGATTTGACTCTCAGCCGCCGCCACGGCTGCCTCGAGTTCGGCTCGTTTCGCCTCGAGCTCGGCGATCCTCTTCTGAAGCAGCTGATGCTCGTCCTCGAGGCTGCTCGCGTAGCTCTCGGAGCACTTGAGCTTGGTCAGGGCCACGGCGAGCTCGTCCTCCTCCCTCTGGCACTCGGTGCGCTGCTCCTCGAACATGAGCTCGTGCCTCGAGTCCTCGGCGGCCAGTCGCTCGTTCTCGGCCCTCAGGTCGGCCACCTCCTTGGTCAGTCGCTGGCAGCGCTCGCGCAGCTCGCCGCACTCTACGCTGGCCTCTTGCAATCGTCGGCGCAGCTCCGGCTCGTCGACGTCCCGCAGCTGCGTCAGCTCCTCGACGAGGCGCTTGTTGAGCCGCTCCAGGCACACGACGTTCTCCTCCGCGGCGGTGGCGCGCTTGCCGGCTGCCTCGAGCAGCTCCCGGGCCGACTCGAGCTCCTGCCTCAGCAGGCCCGACTCCGTGCTCAGCAGCTCGATCTTGTCCAGGCTCTCGTTCTGATTGTCGTCGAACTGGTCGAGCAGCTTGTTGTTCTCGCGCGCGAGCCGCTCGTTGTCGTGGCGCAGCTTGTCGATCTGGCCGCGACTGATGCCGGCCTCCTCCAAGGCCCGGTCGAGCTCCTTGCGCATCTGCAGTATGTCGTACTCGAGGTCGTCGCGCTCGAGACTGGTCTTGCTCAGCTGCTCCCTGAGCTCGGCCAGGGCCTCGCCGTCGGCCCGTCTCTCGTCGGACTCGCTCAGGGCGGCCTCGAGCTTCTCCTTCTCGAGGGTCAGCCGCTCGTTCTCGGCGTCGAGCTCGTTCTTAAGCTGCTGCAGCTGGCTCAGCTGGTGCTCGAGGCGCTTGCCGTTGCCGCTGGCCAATTTCTGCTCGCGTCGGGCGTTCTCGAGGTCGAGCTTCAGCTCCTCGATCAGCTCGATGTTGTCGTCGAGGCCTCGGCAGCGCTCCAGCGACGATCTCAGCTCGCTCTCGAGCTGCTCGATGCGTCGACGCAGCGCCGCGTTCTCCTCGAGATCCTCCGGATTCGGGGTCTGCTGCAGCTGCTGCTGACTATCTTCCTCCTCCTCGGCCAGCAGTTCCTGAATCCTCGCCAGCACCCCCTCGACGTCGTCGTTTTTCACCAGATCCCTGACGGAGTCGAGTCGCGCGGCCAGACGCGAATTGGCCCGGCGCAACTGGCCCAGCTGCTCGTAGAGCGACTCGGTCTCGCACTCGAGACTGGCCACTCGCTCCTCGCTGGCCTCGGGTATCGAGGGCAGGCACTTCTTCAGTCGCTTCGTCTCGAGCAGCAGCGACTCGATGTTCTGCTGCATGTCCTCGCAGTCCGCCTGCATGCCGTCGCGCATCTCCTGCGTCTCTCTCAGCTCGCAGCTCTGCTCCTCGTACCTGCGCTCGAGCTCGGCCTGACGGGCCAGCAGCGTGGCGCAGCGACGCGCCAAACGCAGCAGCAGCGACGACGACGACTTGGATTCCCGTTCTTCGTCCTCCTCTTCCTCGGTCAGGTCGATCTGGGCGCTCTCGATGATCTCTCGAGCTTGCCGCTCCTCGTCCCGATGACGATCCTCCGGCACGGACTGCGTGTCCTTGTCCGAGCTGCATGGCTGCGCCGAGACGCTCTTGTCGGCGGTGTCACCGACGACGACGACGTCGACGCCGGCGGCAGTAGTCTGGCATTCCTTCGACTCCGAGGAGCTGCTGGTGGTGACGTTGCTCGACTGAAGCAACTGTACCTCGGCCTCGGAGCGCCACTTCTTCAGCTCGTCGATCTTCTCCTGGGCTTGATTGTAATCGGCGTAGAGCTGCTCGTAGGCGCTCTGCAGCGAGTTGTGCTTCTTCTGCAGCTCGTCCTTCAGCGACAGCACACGCTCTGTAATACATTATTATTAATTATTATATATTTATATATACGTAAGTAAACTGCGTAACTTTTAATATAATACGGAATGTAAGCAAAAAAAGAGATAATCATATATACATACCGATCGACTCGAGATTCTGCCTGTCGAGCTCCTCGATGCTCGTCGTCAGATTCCTGTTCTCCTCCTCGAGCTCTCTCACGCGCTCGCTCAAGCCGGCCAGGCGCTCGTCGTCGCCGGCCTCGTGCTTCTCGCTCGCCTCGGTCGTCGACTTTTCTTGCGGATGCTGCTGGTCGCGCTGCTGCTGCTCGGCGTCCAGGGCGATCAGGGCCGACTTGATGAGGTCCTGCTGCTCGCCACTGGCCAGCTTCGAGATGGCCAGGCGAAAATCGGCCACGAGCGTCTGCTCGTCCTCGTGCAGGCGTTTCGCGTTGCGCTCGACCTCCTGGCCCTGCGATGAAAATTTTTACCATCGTGTCGTGTATATATAGAAATGCAATTAAATTTTTTGTTCACGTTCGTTCGTTCGATCGATCGATCATAAATTATATATACGCGCGAGAGGGAAAATACGGTGCGCTGCGCGTCGATGTGTGCAAGCGCGATTCTCTCTATTTATGCCGATTTCCAAAGAAAGGAAAAAAAATTGACGCTTTTACGTGCCCGAGTGTGTGTATAGAGCCTTGAAATTTTTACGCTCGCGACGCGCCGCTAGGTGATTTCATAACGAAACGAAGCGTTCGCGTTTTTTTTTCTCCTTCTTTCCTTTTTTTTTCTTTTTTTTTTTCATGCCTCACAACGACGCGAATGATTTGCCTATTCAAACAGCCATGCGTGATTACATATTATGTACTCGCGACACACACATCGTTACAGTATACGTATACGCGTGTGCGACGATGCACTGTCATCTTGTCGCGCATCCCCTGATTACATACCGATTTTTCGGATTTCGAAAGGTTTCGAGAGCCCAGTAATAATGGAAAAAATTGGACCATCGGCGGGCGTTGCGTACAAAACGCATATAAATAAATAGGACGCGCGCTTGATATTAACCAACCTTTTCGCCGATTTGTATGATGCGATTCACCACGTCCTGTTTCGCACGCAAGATTTCCGCCTTGTGCTGCGTCGAAGGTCCTTCTGCTGTTGCTGTTGCTGCTGCTGCATTGTCGGCTATGATATTTGCGTCATCCTTCGAGTTCAGCTGTATAATATAAAAATTGCAGGCATGAAAAATGTATACAATAATTAATAAATGTATTTTCTGTTTTGCTCGACATTGTAAATTGTAGCAAAATTATTAAAAAAAAAAAGCAACTAATTACTCACCGATCGGTAACGACCGAGTTCGATCTCGAGATCGCGAATCCTCGCTGCCGCCTGGTCCAACTGGTCCTGCAACACTTTCGTCGTTTCGGTGGTGGTGGTGGCGCTGTCATTGCTGCTGCTCTGCTGCTTCCTCGTGCTTCTGGGTGGATCCCAAAAGAATCCCGCCCCCGCCTCCTCGTCATTTCGATGCTGCGACTCGTTGATGCTTTTCTGCACAAACCATAAATCGAAACTATGAGTATAAAGTATGAGTATAAATGAAACTATGAGTATAAATAGGCGCCACTATGAAAAAAAAAAAAAAAATTGTCTCTCGTTATACACCGTCGACGCTCTATGGAATAAGAAGGAGCAAAAAAAACCAGGCGAGAAAATTCAAGGTTTCGAGTACACGTTGCAGGCCTCGAGCCATTGCTGCTGCTGCTGCCTTATAGCGATCGTTGCATAAACGCGCGTACATAATAATATTCTCATAGCGTCATGGTTATGGTATAATATAAGGATGCGTATATAGGCGCGCGCGCGAGCAGTGCACAGGATGCATTAGATGCTGCTGCTGCTGTTTCAACGACGCCGTAAGTCGAGAGTATAACGTGACACATATATTTATACACACACACACATGTACATAAGATTTAGATGTACAAGTATATACGCTGCGCATGCATGTGCACATGTGATTAGCGCTCGCGCGAGCATTGTTGCGAGTTTACATAAGAAGAGAACTCGTGCGATATTAGCTCGCTCGCCTATAGTAGCCAGCGATTTACAATGGCTGCTCCTGTATAGTCTTATTGCTCTCTTTCTCGTCTATTCGTGTATAGCGATGTAGGATGCACATTACCGAACCCTTGTGGACGTCGACGCGTCGTTGGCATTGGCGCGTTTTTTTTTTTTCGACGAATCGTCGTCGTCGTTGTCTTCGCGCGATTCACAAAAGGCCAGAGACAGAGAAAGACTTGTATAACCATGATGTATATGGATTGCGTATTTAGAGGTATTCATCGAATAGGCTTGTAGGTCGAATAGGGAGAAGTCGATCGATTTCACTCTTCTTCGATCTCGTGATTTTTTGAGAGCTCATTAATTTTTCTAAATTTTATTGACTATAGAAGCATGTTTTACGTCTATACGTATTGACACTAATAGGCAGATAGGCATCGGTATAACCCCTACTCCCCTGGATTTTCCCTTTCTAATCGTTACCGATCTAAATGACTCGGACTGTGCGCGTCATTTGATCGTGCAGTTCGTACGAATTCGTGCGTAAGTGAGACAGAGACGCAGCAAAGAGTCCGATGATTCGTGCACTCTAGCTTAAAAAAAATGATAGAGAGAGAAAGATAAACAAATGAGATGCGGATCTTTTTTTTCAACTCACGATGAAACGAGACGCGTACGCGTAATGATATACAACTTGGAAGTGTCGCGTATAATATATAAAAGACGAGCCGAGATGATGTTTGGCCAACGCGTATATATTTGACTGTCAAATACGCGTATGTGTGTGATTCACGCAAAGCTCGTCGCCGTATCTCTGCATCGGTCAAGAGTTTAAGAGTGCACACGTCGACGGTAACGCGTAACTTTCTTCATAAATATCTCAGGATATGTAATATATAATGAACGCGCGATAAAAGCTCGCTCGCGCGTCGAGTATAATCGATTCATAAATGCATGCATAATAAAAAAAATTAATTTTACATTTATATATCCTCGCGATCGCTCTCGTATATGTAACGCTCGTGAATACATAACGAAGCTTTCGGACTGTAATATGTATACACGACGAGCGTGTGGACGTCGTCGGGGCCGTGCGCGGGGTAATGCATTCGCGCGGAACTCGGTTTATAGAGTACGACGTAGCGCATTGACAAGCGACGACGACGAAGACGACGAATGATAGACACAAGCGCAGTACAGTATGTGTCAAAGAAAGAGAGAGAGAGGTCGCCGCGACGAAGAGAAAATCAGAATCAAATTCACCTCGACCTGCGTGGCGTTGATATCGAGTTTACGTGTGTGTGTGTGCGTTAGGCAGCGAGAAAGAAAGAGCTGTCGCGTCGTAAAATTGAAATTACTCGCAGCTCTTTTTTTTTTTATTGTCACGACGCGATTATTATGGCTTATGTACTGCGTTACACGGAGCTAGCTCGCAGCCTGATAAAAGTGTAATTTTTTGTACGTCTATTGTTTAGCTTTCGACGCCTAGAAGTATGTAGCAGCGAAAAGGGACAAATTAAAGTGACTGATGGAAAGGAAAATTTAAATTACTCGCAAACGGCTCTTGCTGTTAACGATAAAATGATGCAAGGGATGATCGATGTTCTTCTTTTGTTAGCTTGACTCGAATTAGATTGCAATTTTCACATTAAGACTCACTCACAAAAGAGTAAATTTTACTATGACGCGCGGTTAATATTACTTTTGTGCAAATTTTAAAGAGTAATTTTTTGGGGTACGCCACGATAACGGTTATTTAGCAGGAAAAAAAATACCTGAACAACTTCTTTCGACGTACTTGTAATATAGATAGTTCGATGGATTACGTCGATAACGTTCACCCATAACGTATGGAAATTACAGTCTGCTTTTGACAAGCTCGAGTCATTCTTCGAGAATCAGCACTCGATCGTTCCAGATAAGAGGGACAATCAAATAACCGATCGCTGTTTGTGAATAATTAATCTTATTGCTTTTTTTCGTTGCGTATATAATAGTTCACGTTGTTGTAAAAACCGATCGTAATATATACGCGATCGGTATCCATGATGCTTTTATGCGCATAAACGTACACGCGTCTCTGCACAGAATATTCGTTCACGCACTGTGGAGGGAACTTTATACGATATACGAAAGCTAAGCAGAAGCAACCCAGATTTCGAGCTTCGGTTCTCTTTCTCGGGCGGCAATTGTTATAATCGAGATCCAATTTTGAAAGCTCTCTTTTCTCTTTACACCTATCGACGTAATTCTCAGGGAGAGGGGGTCGCGCTTTATAAACAATTAGTCACCCCCAGCCGATAATCCCCCCCCTCTTTTTTTCCCCCTCGGCGTATCGCAATTTTAAAAGTGTCTACTGTTTAGGCTTATCAACTCGCGCGCGCGCGACATCCTCTATTGCAGGTCTCGCGGTGATATAGCTCTGCGGTCGCGAGCCCTGCAGCACGTGTGTGCTGTATGCGATAATCGCTCTAGCTGCGCGCGGACGCGACGTGTCACTCGGCGAAAGAAAAAAAGACAGCAGAAGAGGCCTAGCCGCGTAATATTACAAGGAGCTCTCGGATATATTGTTGATAAACGATGACGACCGTATAATGTAGACGCCCCGCGTGGGAACGGAAGCTACACTGTATGCACATTATGCACATTTATCAGGGAAGCAAAGAAAGAAAGAAAAGAAAAGAAACAAAACCAAGTGCGACGAGGAGACGACTTTATACGGCAAATAATATACGAATCGAGAATTATACTAGTTCTTAGCACGCCGTATATGTACAGTGTATCATACGGTGTATATACGATGAAGTAGACAACTGAAACGCGATATCTTGCTTGCGGTTTATAGTAACGCGACAAAGAAAAGGAGTATGCGAGCGAGCGAGTAAAAGTGCTGAAAGTGCTTTCTCGCTCTTCAAGTGTGCATAGGCCATCGCCGGAGCTTCTTTCGACGGCTTAATATTACACACAGTTATATCATTATATTATTATTATTTTTCGGCAAATTCCACGGAGCAAAGGTGTGCAACGCCAATTTGACAAAAAAGAAAAAGCGCGCGGCACGAAATATTATATGGATAGGATATATATATACGCGAACTTGCGGCACTCGTGCGTAATAAAAACGGAGAAAAATATCATACGTGCAGACGCAAAGGTAAGAGAAAAAAAAAGGAGAAGGAGAGAACATAGGTACGAAGAGTCAACGAGAGTCTTTCACACCTTGGGTAATATGTAGAGCTTCGGTACACGGCACAGGACTCTCTCTCTCGTCTGCAATTTTTTTTTTTTTTGTTCACGCGTGTATACAATCGAGTTTGCTGTATTTAGTGTCAACTGCATCGCGTCGAAAGAGAGAGCGAGAGAGAGAGAGAGAGAAAAAAAGAGAGTCGGAGCATGCAGATGCGCGTATATGCAGTGCACCTATGTGCACATGCGAGCTGTGTCAACAATCGCAATATTATATACGAGCTTGTATAAATGTCTCTGTGCGTATACGTACGTGTGCCTGCAGCCTCGCGCAAATGCGCGGCTATAAAAAAAAAAAAAAAAAAAAAAAAAAAAAAAAAAAAAAAAAAAAAAAAAAAAAAAAAAAAAAAAAAAAAAAAAAAAAAAAAAAAAAAAAAAAAAAAAAAAAAAAAAAAAAAAAAAAAAAAAAAAAAAAAAAAAAAAAAAAAAAAAAAAAAAAAAAAAAAAAAAAAAAAAAAAAAAAAAAAAAAAAAAAAAAAAAAAAAAAAAAAAAAAAAAAAAAAAAAAAAAAAAAAAAAAAAAAAAAAAAAAAAAAAAAAAAAAAAAAAAAAAAAAACAGGCGAGATGACTGTCTTTTCGCGCGCGCGTGTGCATGTATGCACGGGGTGACAACATTTGTATATGTATAAAAAAAAACTCCCGCAGTCTCAAAACGCAGCGAGAGAGAAAGAAATACATCTTTAATTGTGTTATATATGTGCGCTCGATACGAAGCGATGTACGCTTGGAAATCAAGTTTTGCGCGAGAAGCTTTTTTGATCTCTTCCAACTGCGGTAAAACAATCGGTACAATTTCATAAATTGAGAGAGACAGAGATATATGTGTAATAAGGTAATTTTTTCTAATACGATCGGCGCGAGCATCTTTCCTGCTACGCTTTATACGTTTATAATTATTATATCGCGATCGCAAATACATAATTGAGCTCGATCGAGCATTTACGATCGAGCTCTATATGCACGTATAATAATCGAGAGGGAAAAAATTGCGTTAAAACAGCTGCATTTGCACAGCGTACATACACACACACACGTCAAGTAACCAGCATATGATATTCGTGTTTGCATACATATGATACGAGAGTCGAGATGCGTGTGCTCACACGCAATAACCGATCGTTTATCATAATGGCAGAAAGCAAACAACAACAAAAACAAAAAAAAAACGGAATAAAATGAATATACGATATTCGTGCTCGTGCATAATTCGCGCAATATATAATATACCACGTATGCGTGGA